TTTTTTTTTTTTTTTTTTTTTTTTTTGATTTAAGATAAAAACCTTTCTCAAAAGGGCAAGTAGTTTAAACTGCACTGCAATGTTCCCCAATAGTCATTAAAAAAGACCGGTGCTGTCTTTTATGTCTTTCAACATGTTTCCTTTCTACATCTGGATTCGGCTTCCTGTGCTCCTTGTGCTTTCTTGCCCGTGTTTGTTTGTTTTTTTGCTCCTGCTTTCAGGTGTATAGTGTATTTCCTGAAACTCTGTACTACCTATTAATTACTGTTGCATCATTTAAGCCATCATATTCTGCACAATATTGTGTTTTTGGTAGTTTTTCCAAGACATTAACTTTGTCCAGCAACTTCACCTTCCTGCCCTCGCTGCATGCCTCCTCATCACCACTCCCCTTTATGCATGTAGCAGCAGCTCTGAGCAGAGAGCAATAAAACAAAGCCAGAGCAAGCTGAAATGCAGACAGCAGCTATAGCTCAGGCTTTACTGCTTTTGCACTCTCTAGGCATTATCTGACTTCAGTCTGTGCCACTGTTTCTCAACTTGGACTTTCAACTAACAAGACATTTGCTAAAATGGTCAAAGTATCATTTTTACCCTTTTTATAGTATGGCAGCAATATGCGATTTTATATTGAAGCTGAAATATCACTCTAAATGCCTCCTATCCGTCTTCAGTTAAGCTGCGTGAAAGTAGACCCTTAGACCCTCCCTATCCCGAAACCCACCTCATCTCAGGAAATGTTTACTCACACACTTGCTCCACAGTGACTCTCCACAATAACACTTTTCCAAGGACACTTTGTTCGCTGGAACGCACAAACTGTACTGAACAAATTCAACAAACTGCTTTTACAGTCTCAAAACCATTAAGTGAGTCTGCAAAGCTCAGAATAGATATACTTCAAAGGTTAAAATGCAGAGCAGCATTAATCTGGTAATATAAAAACACATCTCGCTGAAACGTCCATTTGTGCAGAACGCAACTGCCACGATTAAGAAATAGGAAAACTATATTATATAATACACACGTGTTGCTCTGAATAAGTAATCCTCTTGTGTACTCTAGTAATCCAGGATTCTCATAACTATTTGACCATTTAGATTCTTGTGTCTCACAGATAAAAGTACATATTTTATTGAGATTTTTGGCAACAGACCAACTTTAAGCAGTTCATAATTGTGCACCCTGAAAAAACTATGGAATGGGAAGTTTTTTTTGCTTTTAACAAATAAAAGTCTAGTTTACAAATCTAGAAATCTTGTCTTTTATAAATTGGCTAAAGTAAACCGATTGGAGGGTCAGTTTATAGTTCATCAGAGGCCACATAGATGACACTCAAAGTTTTGTGAATATGTACTCGGATTTGAGTTTTGTTTTTTTTGTGTTTTCCTTCTTGCAATAATGTGTTTGCTGTTTATTTTACCATGTAGACCAAGTTTCACCATCTATTGCAGCTTTAGCCATTTGTAGCATGTTCGCTCCTTCCAGCCATAGTAAGCAAAAATGCTAAGCTTATCCACAGCCATTGAAATGGGACAGAGGCATCATTATGGTTGTTGTTCACATTTCTTTCTGCTTTATAATTTGAACTTTTGTAAAGTTGAACTTGGTCTTGAAATGCACATAGCTGAAAGTGTACTGCTGCATTTACAATAAAAATGGGGTTATAGGACGTAGTGTTGAGGAGGGCTTAATACGAGTGATGTATTCAAGAATACTTAACTTGAGAGGTGACTCAAGGCCTAGACCATTTCGTACACAACATTGCTGTAGTCATGATCTGATGGGGAAAATCCCCGTCCAGAAAATGCAAACCCTGTCTAGTTTTCCTGCATCCTGTTCGCTTTTCTTTTTAATTTTCTTCTTTTTTTTTAATTTTTTTATTTAACTTAACCAGTTCATTAGCACCCAGTCTGTTTAGGACGGTAAATGCAAATGTTTGGAACCATGGTTGGAATCTTTGTACAGACTCTTTACTGTCTTGGCCTGGATTATCCATTGCCAATTTATTAAAAAACAGGAATTCTTCAAAGTTTCCAGAATTATAGTCTTCATTGCAGTTAAAATTTGAAAAGAATGTCACCCCTGATGACTCCGATGGTTTCGAAAACATAAACCCAGAGAGGAATTCAACTAAAAATGTTGAGACAGGACACAAGTCTTGAAAACGTGTTTTTAATGCTAACATCGGGTGCTCCAACACTACTGAATCAAACTGAAATAGCATATCCTCTGTTCCAGATTCAGCAGTGCGGATACTCTTGTCCATTTGGAAAAATTCTGCAATCAAAATAGGTTTTTTATTCAGACCAATTATTATGATATATTGTTTGAATAATTGTAAAAACAGGCATACAAATGTAGGTCTTGTATCGTAGACATAATGGACGGCAGCATTTGTGTCCAGAAGTCATTTTCAACCGAAGTAGAGGCTGATAATAAGAATAAGAATAACTGCAGGAGAGAAAGGATATCAGTGATGGATGCAGCTAAACAGTGAAGGAGACACGTTTCTCACCTCTGTGAAATCAAATTGCTGACCGCAGCAAAAGAGACGGGGTGCAAACATAGTCGTTCTCATTTGTTAGTGCAGTGATAGGTGAGCAGATCTCATAGAAACAGAAAATATAGTATCCAAATCAAAAGGCTTTTTTTCTTTAAGGGTATGTGTAAATGTACTGGCTTTCATGGCCCTCACTGCACGATAGCCTCACTCCATCCATCAGCAGACCCTCTCAGCCAGAACAGGGGCTTTAAATGTTGCCCAGTCATCTGACTGGAGTTAGCCTCTGCAACAGTCTGGGATGGCAACTGCACTTAACCCACGCAAAAACCAAGAACAATACCTCCTTTTTGCTGACTTAAGTAGGGGCACCCTGAAGGGGGGGTGATATTTTCTGATCCGTTGTGTCAGGAGAGTGCTCCCTCAGGCTGAGAGGCAAACAGGTCACAATATGTTAAAGTATTTTGATTGTGTTCCAGTCTAACACTCAAATTTTAAGAAGTTTGAGCCATCCAGGAATACTCGTGAGTTGTTGAGGAAAGATAAGCAGTAGGATGTGTTCAATGCTCTTAAGATTTTGATTCTTTTTTGTTTTGTTTTTCCTTAATATGTTATCACTTTTCTAAAAGAAATTGGAAACTAGTTACCAGTTATATGTACTGGGATTGCAGCTTTATAGCAGAGTGTGACCAGTAAGTAATTGGAAGGCTCAGAAAATTAATAGGTCCTGGTTAACCCTAATGATATAACTCCATCTGCCAGCAAGCAGTTTGCACTGCCTTGTTTCTGTTTCACTTGTATGTTGAAAACAGAATTTAACGTTGCTGCAAGATGTAGAAGAGCATTCAAATGTGCTTCAAACCTTCAGGAAGCCATGTGCTTTTAAAGCTTTTAAACACTGAAATCTGCACAGACAATGCAGCCATTTATCTCCCTGTGTGTTTAACCTTTTTCGCCTTTTTCTTGTGTTTTGCAGCTCAGAATGTGACGGTTGAGGAGATCATCTCCTCCTATAAGCAGGCCTGTCAGAAACTCAACTGTAAACCTATCTCCAAAGTGCTCAAACAAATACAGGTAAGAGTCGACACATGGGTGTTTAGCTACAATTTGCTTGTTTTTTATGTCCTAGACTTTGTAGAATTATTTGTTGTTTTTGATAGAAAATAATAAAGCCTGGAGCTTCTTAAACTTCCTCTTATTTTGGCTTAATTCACCCTGTTTTTTACTCATTTATGCAGCGATATTTTTTTTCCCCCTAAAAACATAATGAGCTCTAATATTTAATTTTTGTAAGCTGTTTAAGATGTTTTCACTCCACGCTGGGTTCCCATTTTTCACTTGTCATTCATGAAATATTTCATCGTGAGGGACTCTTTGGCCTCCCAACAGCAGATTTGGAGGTTTTTTTTACAAAGATCAAACCGTATCAGAAGATGCAGCATGACTGCCGTTGTGCCAGATATCTGATTGTTGCACCCCGCAGCTATTTTACAGATTTTAATCTCGCCTTTTGAAGTTTAATTCTGAAGCCATTAACAGGGTTATTCATTCATTACAGCATTAAGATCATAGCCTGACGTAGTCCGACTCAATTCTAGTCAGAATATGAGTCTGATACTGCTCCATAGAGCTGTGATTATGGGGCGTGTTTTGAACGAACCAGGAAAAAAAATTGCCTCTGTACTCAATTGGATAGACCTACAACCAATAAGAGCAACTGAGTGCGTGACGTATGTTAAGCGAGGCATAGTTGTTGTCCACAAAAATCAAAGCGTGCAGTTTCACGCCTAGAATAAGAAGATGAGACTTGATCGCGTTTCTCTGTTCCTCTTTTAAAATGAATTTGCTGTCGATATCTTCTAGAACAGACCTAATAGCAGAATCTACTCACCTCAACTCTCCAGCGGCAGCCATTATTGTTGTCACCCAAGCGCGCTTTGGTCACGTGGTTGATAACGTTACTCTTGATCATCTGTCCATCATCGTATAAAGCCCGCCCTGACAATTTGATTGGATCGCCTGACAGTGGGCTTTAATACTCGCGCTACTATGGAGCAGAGCCAGACCGAACTTCCCCGAACTCAAACCTTGTGGGCGGGACTAAGTTCGGACTGGCACCCAGGCTATTAAGATCAGGTATTCCCAAACATTGTGATGTAATATATATTATTAAATACACAAATGGGAATGTCCCATGAAATAGATAAATGTACTATGAAATAATTAGATTTAACATTTAATTTTGTACCTGATATATATTTTAAATTGTAAGTGTACCATTAAATGTCTCATTAAAAGATTTAAATCAGGCATCCCCAAAGTCGGTCCTCGAGGGCCGCTGTCCTGCAGGTTTTAGATGTTTCTCTGCTCCAGCACAGCTGATTTTAATTGATAGTTGATTAACAGGCTTTTGCTCTACTGCAATCATCATAATCAGCTGTGCTAAAGCAGGGAAACCTCTAAAACCTGCAGGACAGCGGCCCTTGAGGACCGACTTTGGGGATGCCTGATTTAAATAAATTCAAAATGATATATTAAAATATTATTTAGAGAAAAAAAATAAATAGAATTACTTTAGTAGTACCGGTATGTATTTACAAAATGAATTTAGTTTGAAGTAGTAGGGGTCTGCTGCATAGTTATTTTTGCCGTCACAAGCAGAAATGCTTTACTTGGTAATAAACTCAACCAAGATTTATGCATTACAGGTAGCTCTATTGTTTCACATCATACAAGTTGATTCACCGACCTTGTGTGCTGTCATAGCACGCAGCTGGGATTACAAAACCCTGAGCACCATCCTTAAAATCTTATTACCTGGATCAGACCCCAGAAGATCACACAGTGCCCCTTGTAGGACTAACATTTGTGCCTGATTCTCCTGACTCGTTTATCTTCTGCCAACACACCCATTACACCCTGGCATCGTTCAGTCACATGTTTTTTTAAAGATTCATGCCAGATCAGAATTAGTTTTTCCTTGATTGCATCTGATTTGTGATGGGAAGCTCAGGTTGTTTTGTTTCCTGTTTCTTTAGAAATAAGAACTGTAACCCTAATAGGTGTCAGTTTGATCCACTGTTGGTTTGAGTTTTCAAAGATAACTGTTATAATCACCTTCATGTGTAATAACATGAGACTGAAGAGTACTGTATGCGATATTTAAGGGGTCAAAAAATACTGTGGCCAGAACCAAAGGTTTTGTTCTTGTTTTTTTTGTTTTGTTTTTTTTGCTTTCTTTGTTTCTTTTTTTAGTTTCTTGGTTGCAAGCTTCCGACATGACATCTAAACCCCTAGTTCTTCACCCTTTTCCGAGGAAGCCTCTACATTGTTTGTTTGTATTGTTCTGCAGATCTTTTGCCTTTGTGTGTGAATTGACGCACATGCTTCATTTCTATTACTATAGTTGGAGTTTCCTCATTTGGGAGTCGTTTCCTCTGGGTGTCAGACATGTTTTTGTAACAGACAAGGAGAGGAAATTGGGAATATATAGCACAAGGGGAAAAATGTTTTCCTATGTTTTTTTCCCCCCCCCCGCTCTGTTCTTCAACTATTTTAGTTTATATTACTGTCCTGTTAGGAGTAATGCCTCGTGATGGTAGAAATTTGACAAGTAACTTAGAAATCTGCAAGGTAGCCCTGCAGTTTTTAAATGTTCTCTAGCAAAATACCCATGTGATTTTTTTCCTTTTATATAATAGCAGCTTGGTACAGTAATGTGAATATCCACAAGCGGCTGAGATGATATCCCTAACTCTCAGCTGACTAGTCAAGTGGTGATCTTGTCGCAATGTTCAAATTTTCATCTGGGTATTTTTCTGATTTAACACCGACATTCAAAAGCTTTTAGCTATGGATGTTAAAAAACCCATAAAGCAAAACAGTAAAGGGTTTTACAGTGCATGCTCTAAAGAGGCAAAACAATCAGTAGAAATTAATTATGCATCCCTGCACCATTGGGGTGGTCACAGTCTGACAAGACGTAAGTTAAAGTAGGAAAGATGGGAACTGATGTGATTGAATAAATCCATTGACATGGTTATTCAGATCCAAAGTATCCAACTAAATTACTTTGGAAAAGTAAAAATTCTAAACCAACTTTACTTATTTGCAGTTACCATCTACAGCCATATTTTGGCCAAACACTAGAGAGAGTGTTTACATCTAATTCAGCAAGAATTGCCAGGCTGTTTCAGATTTTGACCATTATTTAGTAATTTTTTTTCACTGCATTACGACAAAGTTTGTCCAGTGTACAAGTTATCTATTTCTGCTTGGTCATCTTTGCTGTGACCAGGCTTATAAGCATAGCTGGCCAATGAGAGGGAGTTGGCGAAAGCTGCTCGGCTATTTACTGTTTTCTTTTTCCCTCTAAATGCTTTCTTTATTTAGTCCTACTGAATTACTGCCAGTTGTGTTACAGGTGATTTTCCATATGACCACCAGTGTGTGTGCTTGTTTATATGAGACTGTGTGTTTAGTATCTGCCTGTTGAATGTCTGCTGTACAGTTACTCCCACAGGGGTCTTAAAATTTGAGGCCTTGGAGGCCTTGTGTCACATTTCTCCCAATTTCCTTTTCCATTTGCAGCAAAGGTTTTACTGGTTTTTAAATGTGTGTGCAGGCATTTGTCCTCTGTAAATACTGCTGCTATTTATAACCAGCAAATGTTGGTTAATGAGATGCAACATTAAATCTGCATTAAGTCCTTGTTTATTAAAAGGTTGGGAGGTTTATTGACGGGTACATTTTTAGGTGTCTCTGATATTGCAGATCCCAAAATAACTCTTCAGTGTTTAAAACTAATGGAGTAAACATTTAGGCTCCTCTGTTAAATGGCAAATATGGCATGATTGAGAGTGATAAGTGTTTGGGACACATAAGTTTTGTCTCATTAACCTGCAGCTGTTCATATTCCATGTTAAAAACTCCCCTTTCTTATTACCTAAAACAGTTTTAGATGACATAGAAATGTACTTTGTGAAAGGCACTACTTTCAAATAAAAGACCAATTAATGTTCTGCACCTTTATCCATTTTAAACTAAGATACCATATATGCTGGGTTCCTAAAAGTTGAAAAGTTTCTGAAATTATTTTTGTGTTTTTAATTTCCAAAAGAAAAAAATAACATATAAAAATATTGAAATATGAATTGTCATTAACTGTGAAAAAATTATTTTCAGCCTTACAAATATGTAGGAACCAAAGATAGACAAATGGTTTAGATTAATAGGGCTGTTAATAATTTTTGGCTTGTACTGTTTGTTTTTGGTATTCTTTTTGTCCGCATTTGCCAACAGGTGTATGATTTGGCCAGATTATTTGTGCATTCATTTTTTTTCGAACTTTGCTGCTCTCTCCATTATTAATGTTTTGATTTATTACACGATTTTATTTTTTTATCTATTTTTTTAATTGAGACTTGTTTAACATTTGTTATCAATATGTCAATTTATTATGTAATTTGAGGAGGAAAAAGCAATGTTGGCTTTAGGAATCATTCCCAAAAAAATGCCAGAACATATCTGAGATCAATTAGACTGATGTCTGTATCGGCTTCTGCCTTAAAATAAAAATTGTATTGGTCGACCTCTAGGAGGAACTCTGCATATAGTGTAGCAATGAAGACTAATGACAATGGACAGAAAATGTTGCTCTTTGTAAGTTCACCCACAGCACCCGCTCTCATGAAGGGATCCGTGATGTGTCGCGCTCTATTTTAGGGTCTAGGAAAGCTTACAGGGAGAAATTTTTCTCAGCTCTGGTCATTGTTCCCAACATGCACCAATATTCTGGTTGCTAGGCAGGAAAATCACCTGATATGTCAATCTCCCTCTCTTCAATGACTTCAAAGGTCACCAGAAACTACTTGTGTTACACATACCCTATTATATAAGTTATTTCATATCATTTTGTTGGTGTAACGATGGCTCTGCTTTGCAGATGGGGTATTTTCCGAATAACGTTGTGAGTTTGGAACCAGTTGAGTCATGCAAGAGGCCATGAACTCATCACATTCAGGCACAGCAGTGGGAAAGGGGTTATGGAGTTCATTCTGAATGGACAGGGCAATAATCAAGAGACTGGGATTTGCTGGTGCATAGTTTTGAGAGCAGTACACTGTGTGTTTTTGTATGTGCTGGTTGGATGTATCAGCACGGCAAGAGCTTCAGTACCACCTTTCGATCAATGCTGATGCTGAGTCCTTTTACAGACTGGGACCAAAGTGAACTATAGATATGTGAATTCAAAGACTTAACTTTATTTTGCTTTTCCAACACTGAGGCTAAAACCCTTTAGATGCTTATATTGTGCGACATCAGAGCTCAGCTGAGGTGCAGGCAGCACACCACTGACAATGCTGTTCCTTGCCTTGCGTTTAGCATCAATTTGGTTTGATTTCTGCGCTGCCGGATTAAATCTGCTCACCCTTTAAGAAGGATAAAATCCATATGACAGTGTGCAGTGTGTGGACTGATCATTGCAAGCTTTCCGTAAAAGGTTTAAAAAATCCACTGGACTTAGTTTCCAAGATTTGAAGACGTTTAGCTACCTCTCCAGGAAGCTTTCTCAATTCAAATGTCTGGATCCGCAGTGAGTTTGAGTCTTTATATAGACAAGGCCTTGTATTGCTTGGAAACATGCAAATGGAAACCGATGAGTGGGTTGTTTGGTTCAATTGTTAGCCTGCAAGCTAATCTGAGACTTTAAATGGAGCGTTCGAGTGTTGGCCTAGTGGTTAGAGCAGTGTGCTTGTACCAGGTTCGATCCCCACAGCCTCCACTCTGGGTTCCTGAGCAAAACCCTTAACTCCTGACTGCTCCCTGGGCGCCAAACAATGGCAGCCCACTAATCCCCAAGGGGATGGGTCAAAATGCAGAGGACAAGTTTCCCCATTGTGGGACAATAAAGGGATTTACATTATTTGCATCACATTACATTCAATCAACCTAGAGGTGTTAAATCTATCAGTAAGCATACATGCCAGAAAGTAAACGGTGTGTTTTTCCTCATAACTGGTAAATGTACAGTAGGCATCACGACTTTTCCCACTATATAGCCTCATTTTGATGTGACATGTTATATTTTCTTTGAGTGAGGATAAAGATCAAAATGTATAATAATGTATGCTTCTAAAGAAATACACGGTGCATCAGTCGGGGCTTAAAGTAAATTTTGTTTTTTGGTTGTTTTTTTTTATACTGTGCTTAGTTTTACTTTAATGTTGCCATTTTTACTGTCACACAATGTAATGACTTAAAATACATCCCAGGAGCAGCTTCTATCCCAAACATTAAGAGATTCTTTACCATCACAGCTAATAAATAAGATTTAAGAGCCACAATAAAGGATTTATTAATATGAAGCCCAGGGAATTAAATGACTTATTATTGTATTTTTATAATTAAAAAAATAAGCCTTTGAAAAGGGAAAAAAAAATTATTTTTTTATTTTTATTTTGTAGAATGAGGCAGGCAGAGTGAACCACCATAAGTATGATTGATAGAGCTAAAACAAAAACTTTAAATTACTTTGAAAAGCTTTGTTCTGTTGCCTTTGTAAATAACATTTTCTGCCCAGTTTTGTTAGAGCCGCTGTGTAGGGAGCAAAGAGCCCTGCATAGTTCTTGAGCTGCAGATTTCAGACTCCTGTTCTGATGGTTTTACAGCAACTCTGTTGGTTTAAGTCTAGTTTCACTCTTACATTCATGTTGGTCTTGTTCCCCTTTAATGAGTCTTTAAGCCCTGTCAAAACCATCCAGCACTGCAGCTGACGCAAGTTATGACAAAAATCATCCTACGCACTTTATTAGGTTTTCTTACAATAAACAATGAGAGGCTTGTAAGTTTAATGTTGCCAATAAAGTGTTAATTTCATTCTTTTTTTTTGTGCTCTCTACTACTTTTACAGTAGAATAGTAGATACATTAGAACACTGCACAGAATGGAGAGAATAATTAACATAATCTGAAAACTTGTCTTAGTATCCCACCTGTACTGGACAGCAGGAATGGCCTAGCTCCGCATGTGATTCGCTGTTCCTTCTAAACTTCTTTCACTGGGACTTGGCTGCCTTGACCTAAAGATTGCACCACTGGTTTATCTTTGATTGTCTAAGAACTATGATGCATTGCTTTTGTCGATTTGATTGAATTTCTTCTTGCATGACGTCAAACTTTCATCATGTGAAAAGCAAAGTCTGCTTTAGCAGGCTAAAGGATACATTTAACAGGTTCTGACCATGTTCCTTTTTGTTTCTGTAGGAACTGAAAGACCTGACTCAGCGAAACGAGTGCTTGGATCTGAAAGGTAAGCACAAAGAAATGCACATTACACAGCGTGTTGAGCTAATTACTCTCTCAATGATTATAAGTGGAGGAAATGTGTTGTTTTGTTTCAATTCATTGAGGTTTAAAGGCAGTGGTTCATGCTTAGCCTAACTGTAGCGGTTAAAGCAGGATGAGGTTTTTACATTGCACTAGTTTTCCCATCATGAACGTCTCTATTTTACCCTCAGACTTGCAGTCTGAGATCTGCCTTTTGTGTTCTTGTGCAATGTCTTCACAGTTTGAACTTAAAGTGAACCTGCTGGGACAGCCACTGTGGGATTAACTAGAAACTATGTTGAATGTTTTCTATCCATGAGCGACGATGGGCCCCATATTGTTTGGCCAGATGGAAATGGCTGCAATAACCTTTCAGAGAAAATGTGCAGAAACTAGAGATGCACCAAAAGGATTTTGGGCAGAAATACACTTTCTGATATTTATTTGAACTGACAATAACAGATATCATTATTATTCCAATTACTCTTGAACAGATTTATTTAAAAAATGAACAAATAAATGGCACTGGAAATGTTTTTATTGCCTTTCTATGCTTAGTGTTGATGATTTTTTTTTTTTATCAGGGGTAAAGCCACACTAGACCAGCCACTGTTTAACTGTTTCAATAAGATTTTTCTACAACAATATAATGAATATGCATTTGAGGGATTTTTTATGTCATTATTATCCTATATTTGTAATGAGCATTTTTAAAACAGTCTTGGTCTCCCTGAATGTTCCGTAACTGACAGTAGACACATTGAAAGCATCAATTTAGAACAACTTTGCTGTTCCCCATGTAGCCTTTCTGATGTCGGTTGAAAGTTTTGCTCTCTTTGAGCCCAAATGAACTGCAGATACAACTGTAGAAAATCGAGTACTCTTATAAATGCCTTTTAATCTCTGTTCTTCCATCAACTTTGTTAAACACCTGACTCGTCCTGAAAAAACTGTCCTCATTCAGTTACATCTTTAACACAATGGACCATTTTTATCAGCTTGTACTTTGTCTGGTGTCTTTATGTTTGATGATGATCAGGTGTTTGATTTTTGCGACCGCTTAATTATCGTTCTACTGACCTTCCTCTGACAGACTTACTTCTTTGCAGCCTTCTAGATTCTGTAATCATAAAAGTCCCAATGTTATATTTTTTATTCCCAGTTATACTTTATTGTTAACCTGGAATAATCTAAAACATCTAATGCTACATTCACACTGCAAGCAGCAAGAGCAGCAAAAACGCGCGTGCTGCTTCATTTTTGATGCTTGTACAAGTTTAGTACTGACGTGCGGCTGAAGCAGCTTTGCTGCTCTGGCTGCGCGGTAGAAAAAGTGGGTCTGATGCGCTTTGGGCGGAGCTACTCTATCTTTTCTTTGCCTGTAACAATGGCAGCTATATATGCTGTGATCAGTGGGTAAAAAGTAGTTTTAATATGTTTTTTAGTGATAAATTCCACCTGTAATCTTAATCTGTGCAGTCAGTTCATCCAGATTACCATCCTGCCTTTAAATATTATTTCGCTATCGGAGCCGCTCAGACCCCTACATACCGGCGGTGCGCTGTCAGTACGAATCCCATTCAACAGCAGCTTCAGCTTCTTTCTTCACGGTTTGCCATGACGGCTGGAAGGCGTTTTTCATGTACGTAATCCAAACTGCAGGCAACAGGATAATTAAGGTGAACATGTTTTGCAGGCAGATTTCGGCATTTTATGGTAATTTCGGCATTAATAAACTGTTTCAGTGAAGTGATCATAGTGATCTATATCAGCGGTGATGTGTCTCTCTCCCTGCCAGCTCCCAGATCAGCTTCTCTGATTGGTTGATGTGGCACGTCGAGCAGCAAACGTTCAATTTTTCCAACTCCAGCAGCAGCTACATTTGCAGCGTGTCAGATGCTCAGAAGCTCACGACACGCTGCTCAGACGAGCTGCTCCTGCTGCCCAAAACGCGCTGCGGCACGTTTTGCTGCGCCTTGATGCCAGTTAACCATTGACTTTGCATATAAACTAGCTGCTCCTCCTGCCTCTGCTGCTTTAGGTCTGAACGTAGCATTAATCTAAAAGGTTGTAAATTTCACAGTGACTTAACCTAGATTAAGTGTTCTGCAATCCAATTCTTCCTTATGTGTCGTCATCAGGTGAGAAGCTGGACTACAAAGCATGTGAGTCTCTGGAGGAGATTTTGAAGAGAGTCCAGTTTAAAGTGATAGACCTGGAGCAGACCAACCTGGATGAAGATGTAAGATGGATAAAGCCACACTTGTCTTTTTAATGCTATTTTCCACATTCAGTCTGTTTTCCTTTCCAATTTTACAATCTAGTAGGTTTTATAATGTTTTTCATGGTTTGGTCTGACTATCCCAGATGTTGATCTTTGTACACTATAAATGTTTGAGCTAAAAACATTGACTGATGGTCTGTGCTGCGGCGTGGAGGACTGAGAACAGATCCTGTCATTCTACCTTTTACTGTATAGTAATTACTAATTACTAAAGTCAGTCACTTGGACTAAAGCATCAAGTTCCCGTGATGCGATGGGTTGATATACTATTACCCAAAATCAATTAAACTGATCAGTTGTGATATTTATGCACTTTGTGTCTTTAGGTTTCAATTAAAAATCTGGGAGGAACTTTAAATAAAATGCACACAAGCATATTTGCCGGCATAGTTCCTTTCTATCTTTTTCATTTATTATGCGGAGTAACTTGATTGGGTTTTATCAGCTTGGGTTTTTGTCTGTCATTTCCTTTTTTTTTCCCTCTGCATTTTATTGTCATTACACTGAATGCATGTGATGGTAGCTTTTCATTCTTGGCTAAGCTAAAGTCACTGTAAAAATATCCCTCTCCCTCATCCAGGGTACGGTGAACCCAGCCTGATGGGACATTGGCAGATAAAAAAAAAAAAAAAAACTTTTTAGGATTTTTTTCTATATGATCTAGAGACAAGATTCACTGTTCTTCTGGAAATCTGAATTGTTTCCTTAAAAATATATATTGATCTCCAGGCGGCCCCTTAAAAGTTACACATTTTTAATAGAGTTCATACCTAAAGAGCTGTCATTAAGCTCACAGATGCTTGTTTAATTTAGTATCGAATTACACTGCTTATGCTTCTTTTTAACATGTTAAGATTCAACCTTCACAGCATCCCAAAAGAACAACTTCGCATTTATAGAAAGAGTATCTGTGAGTCATTAACTTAGTCACTGTAGCCAAATGTCTCGCTTTTGGGCTCTGATAAAATGATCTATGAAAAGGAAAATTACAGGAAAGGAACTGCTGGTTTAGCTCATTTTGTTAAGGAATGGGATTAAATCATGTATTGAGAGAAGGGATTGATTTTTTTCTGAAATGGCAGAGAGATATAAAGAGGATGGTTTAGTTTGGCAGAGGGACGTATCTGCACAGTGGCTTCAAACTGGGAGGGTTTTGGGAGGATGAAAGAAGTTTGGGGGAGATGCTTTAAGACATGTGGAGAAGCAGGCATGAGGAGTGTGATCACACGGTGGTTTTTATTAGACTAGATGTGACTCATCTTCCCCCACCCTGTAGATAAACACATGTGTATACTCAACCATGTCTCCTAGTATAAACACACACACCAAAAGGCAAAAGGTTGGGAAACATTATGCATTTTCCAGCTTATTCATCCTCTGCAGTAAATACAGCGCACACTTCATTTTCTTAAGCTTTGCTAATATTTAATTGAAAGGACAAATAATAACATTACACAAAAGTTAACAGAAATCTTAATTTTATCCTAACCGATGTTGAAACTTGAAATGAAGCTGCCAGTTTTTGGATCGGTTACTAATTAAGCTTAAATAAAAGATTTGTTAGGAAGCATCAATCAGGGCACATTTCTAAAGCATCGGATAAGGGGTGAACAGATTGTATTTTTCCAACTGATAATCCATATTTTCTTAACTAAAAAGCACTAAGGTGTTACAAGGTCACAATATACCTTTAAAGCTACCGGTATGTCTTCTTTTATTGAACAACATTGAAAATTACTCTTAAACTACTACAAACGTGTCTTGACTGCAAATAAGTCAGTGCTCTCAAAATATAAAGTTTTTTCAAAATTGGATGAGTGTTTTTAAAACCTTTTAGGCAGTAGATAGGATTTGTGGATGTGTCTCACTTTTTTGGACAACCATTGATCATTCTGTGCACCCATAGATCAGAGGTTATTTTACCCCTATCTATTAAATCCATCAAGTTAATAAATACTACAGTATGTACTTTGATGCACTTTTTAGGGTATATTTATTTTGATAAAAGTTAGGGGAGCATAATTTGGTATCATTATAATTAAACTGCTATCTCTACTAAGCAAGCTGCAAGTTACATAGTATGTGAAGCTGCAGGTCAGACTGCTTAAGATGAAACTTAATGGTCTTTTGCTATTAAATTGTGTGTTTTTTTCTTTTAAATAAGAATGCAGTTTCCTTTTTCCCCCTGCTTTTTTATTGTCATTACACTGTCACAAGTACAGAGCAACGAAATTCACTCTGTATTTAACCCATCCCCTTGGGGAGCGTTATATGTTTCTGCATAAAAAGCGAAACAAATTTCACATTAGTGTTTTATTTCTTATTAACATACTAAGATTTTAGGTGAATCTGAATAATATAGCAAATCATTTAAATACCTTCTGAAAGGAATTGATGTTTTTATTTGCTTTTTTTTTTTTGTCTGTTTTCAAAATAATAAAAAAAGTTATGGACCTACATACATTTTCAGAGAAGGTGCATATTCTGGCAACAAATGGTTACAGTTTGGTGATGATCAGGATCACCATCTGGATCCAGGATTTTTTGTTTGAAAGCTACTGTTAATACAGGTATCAGCTTAAGTTGAAAGTTATAATATTTCAGGGGAAATTAGCTACTTGGTTAAGGTTTGCTCTCTCAGAGTACTTTTTTTTCTTTAATATGAGGAAATATCTGTTAGAGACATATTTTGATTAATCTTCAACTACTTTGAATTGAGGATTTTTTGTTTCTGTTATATCATGGTCAATAAAACCAGCCCATAGCAAAGAAAACCCTAACACTTTTAAAGAGATTACACACCTTTAATTTATCACCTGTACAAGGGAACTGTTAGAAATCTCATTTAGCTTGTATAAAGACGTTTGGTGTTATAAACTACTTGAAACCTATTAAATATTTTCTTTGACTGTTTTTTATTTCTTTGCATTTATTGTTCTCAGGGTGCTTCAGCTCTATTTGACATGATTGAATATTATGAATCAGCCACACATCTCAACATCTCCTTCAACAAGCATATCGGCACGCGAGGATGGCAGGCCGCTGCTCACATGATGAGAAAGGTGAGATTGTTTTTGCTATCCACGGACTCATTGATAATGAGATAAATACATTTGTATATCCTTACATGCACTATATTTACAAAGGAATATATTTAAGATGAATGTAAACATCTGGGTTTTCTGATTTTTATCTTGTGACCTCACGTATTTTACCTTTACAAACCCTCACCAGGTTTGCTCCCACTGTAGCTGGTATTTTGGCCAATTCCTCTAATCAGATATCCACAAATTTTCCCTGGGGTTGAGGTTTGGTAACCGGAGCCACTCCAAGAGCTTGAATTGATTTTTATGGAGCTGTTCTTGGTTTCTTAAGCAGTGTGTTTTGGATCATTGTGATGCTGGAAGAAGCAGCCATGTTATATCTTCAATTCTCTGGAAGAAGGATTTTGCGTAAAATCTAATACACGATCCCCTTCATTCTTGCTTTAACGCTGTTCAGTTTTGATGTCCCTTTTGCAGATAAACAGCCCCAAAGCATGATGTTTCCACCACCATGCAGCCCAATAGGTTTGGTGTTCTTGGGATTCAACTCAAGTATTCTTCCCTCTTCCAAACACAAAGAGTTTAATTTGTGCCAAAAATTCTGCTTTGGTTTTATCGAACCACATATTTTCCAGATCTTGTTGTGGATCATCTATATGCTCTCTGCGTAAACCTCAGATGGACATCTGCTGGTTTAAGGAGGAGGACACGCCTGGCAATACATAATTTAGGTCCCTCTGTGCGTAGTGTGTTATTGATGGCAGCCGTTGTTCCTTTGGTCCCAGCTCCCTACAGATCATTCATCAGGTCCCTCTGTGTACTTCTGTAATTTGGCCTGCTGTTGTCGTCATTATTTTGACTCCGACAGATGAGATCTTGCGTTGGGGCTCCAGATTGAAGGAGATTGTAAATGGTCTTAGGTGTCTTCTGTTTTCTTCCCATTACTCCTACAGTTGATTTCTTCACTCCAATCTGCTCACCTATTGTAGATTCAGTCTTCCCAGTCTGGTGCAGGTCTACAATTGTCTTCCTGGTGTCTTTTCACAGACACTTGGTTTTAGTTATGGTAGAGTTTGCAGTCTGTCTGTTAAAGGCTCTGAACAGACTTCAAACAGGTGACGCAGCCTCTTAAAAAATAACAGGTCTGTGAGAGGCAGACATCTTGCTTGTCTGTAGATGACCAAATACATTTTCTCCACTGTTATTTACAAACAAATTCTCTAAAAACAATCCTAAACTGTCATTTCCTTTTTTCCCCCCTGCGTTTTATTGTCATTACACTCTCACAAGTACAGCGCAACAAAATTTGCTCTCTGCATTTAACCCATCCGCTTGGGGAGCTGTGGGCTGCCATTTGCGGCGCCTGTGGAGCAGTGTAGTGGTTAAGGGTCTTGCTCAGGGACCCAGAGCAGCAGTCTTTTTTTTTTTTTTTCTAATTTTGTCCCTCAGAGTTGAACTGTACTTGTAATGACAATTACAAACCTCTGTGGCCTTCCAAAGTAGGACAATAATTATTGGTTGACTAAATGCTTCCTTGCCTCACTGTATGTTAGCTTTATTTGTTAGGGAAAAAATTTTACTTGTACAAGTTTCTTAACTTCTAGTACTGTACTATACCCCTCTTTCCAATAATCACATAAGAAGTCCAATGCCTATGATAAATCCTTTTGCAGGCTTTGCAAATAAAATACATGATTTTTTTTATATAACCAGTAAACACAGTCTAACGTTTCGCAATTCATATGCAACTACTAGTGTCCAATATTTATCTTAGCTTTCATAAAATAATAAAAACTAAGAGTACATTCTTTTTCTACAGGACCGATCAAGTTTTTCTTTATTCAAATATTTATGACACTGTCTAAAACCCCCCACTCTTGTTCAGCATTAATGATATGTGATGTAGACATATAATGGTGTTTGTAATCACAACTTTAGTAGGATGATGGCGACGTGTTGGATTTCAGATTATTAATGATGAAATGGCTAAAGACTCCACACATACGCTCTTATTTCATAGATATTAATCAACTAATGGGGGAAATCGTTTTGCATGAATCCATGTTTGAGACTAAACCTTGGATTAAATGGGAAACAACATAAATTAGTTTTATATAAAAAGGATACGTAGGATTTTTTTTTTTATATTGTTAAGAAAAGGAGAATTTCTCTGTATCCGCTGGAGATGTGAAGGTTTGTAATATCAGTTACTGCAGTAGAGAAGACTGTCATGTATATAGTTTATCCGCCTAGCAATGCCTCTGTTATCATTTCCTCCTCAGACGAGCTCTCTTCAGTACCTGGATGCCCGTAACACTCCTCTGCTGGACCACTCGGCTCCTTTTGTTGCCCGAGCGCTCCGGATCAGTGGCAGCTTGGTGGTCCTCCACCTGGAGAATGCTGGTTTGTCGGGCAGGCCGCTCATGTTACTAGGTAAGACGGACAGAGCACTGGGAGCTTCTTTTTGTCCTCTCCGAATTAACTGAAATGTGATCCTTCTGTTTATCCCTGTGGCCATCTTGCTTTGCTTCACACACGTTCTTTTCTGTCAGCCACGGCTCTGAAGATGAATATGAATCTGCGGGAGCTGTACCTGGCTGACAACAAACTCAATGGCCTTCAGGATCCTGCTCAGCTTGGCAGCCTGCTCAAGTTTAACTGCAACATTCAGATTCTAGACCTGCGCAATAATCACATCCTAGACTCTGGTATGCAACTCTAGACATAACTGTGTAGAATTGTGATGTGTGAGCTATGATTATAGTGCTTCATATTTTTACACCTTATTTGTCAAAGCTTTTGTCACATTGCAACCAAGGACTTCAATTTATTTTATTGGGATGTCATGTGATCAACCAGCAAAGTATCATTCATACTACTAACACACAATGCTAATGGGATTAAATTAGGATTAGGATTTTTTCAAAAGTTCTGAAAAGCAGTGTATTTCATATCCAACTATCTTTACTCTGATACTCTTAAACAAATATCCTCCTTTTATGAGTCACTTTGTTAAAAAATAGAAAACCAGCCCATCTGTGTATAGCTTAGTCATAAAATAAATCCAGCTGTTCTAAAAGGAGAGGGAGGTTCTCAAATAATATCCCTTGATTTGAGTAACGCAGAGAAAATCATTGAAATCGTCAAATACACTGGAGAGGTGGAAAAAACAATATGTGATGTTTCGTCATAGAAGAGAGCATCAGCAAAGCTGCAAAGATATGGAAAATCTAGGACATTTAGTCCGTCACACTACACTTGCAAAGTTAAGTATTCCTACAAGAATATCTAAGTATGTGTCATAAACCGCAAGATCACACAATAAGAGCCTGATTATATTATATAACACAAAATAGTTTGTAAGTAAACACAGAGCTGGTAAATAGAGACAATTCTAAAGTAATACCCCCAAATATTTGATGCATTTAACTTTGACATAGCCTCCCACTGCTTTTATAACTAATGACACCCTGGCCTCTCCGCTGGAAATTCAAAGGCCCCTTTTTCTCTAACATGTTCTAAACGCCACAGACGTCAGAGATCAGATACCAAATCAGATCCAGTGTCAATTTTCTGGCCATGAGAAAACCAAAATTGGAAAATGAACCATTTCCTGATTTCCAAATACAACAAAAACAAACAATGTGTCCATTTTTGTTGTTTTCTTTAAAGATCCCAAATTAGAAAAAAAAGAAGGACCTGCTATCTGTTTTTCAAGTCCAAAAGGAAAATTTAAAATTTTAAATAATGAATTTAGACTTCTTTACCTCCTGATTCAGCTCCCCCCTCTGTTGTGTTTTGGTAGTGACCCAGAAGTAGTGGTAACACTAACATAGAGAGACATGGCACCATTTGTTCAGAACTATGTATTCATAGTTATTATTCCCAATTTGATGATTTCTTTGTCGATACATAAATACATTCTATTGAAATAAAAAGCTATAAAAATCTGATGGTCTGCCTTGAGACTCATGCGTTACTTCCTGGTCCAGAGCAGTACTATACAATTATTGCAATATTGTAGCAGTTTCTATAAGGCATATTAATGTACTAGAATGGTTCAGACCTAAATGCTGGTGACCCAGGGAGCTGATTATAAATGTTTACCCCACTGTTCTAAGTGATTTGTTAAAAGGCTTGAAACCAACATTTCATTGACCTTCCTCTTCACTTAAAAACTTTTTATCACCTAAAATAAAACCAAAATAAATTGAAATTTTGGTTATAAGTTCAAAAAAATGAATGATTTTTAAGTTACTTTGATTTGTTTGTTGTCTCAGGTCTGGCCTTCTTGTGTGAAGGACTGAAGGAGCAAAGGAAAGGTCTCGTCACTTTGGTGCTATGGAACAACCAGCTAACACACATTGGCATGGGCTACCTCGCTGCTGCACTGGTACATTACACACAACACTTCGCCATGATACAAAATAATACTGTATAGTGTTGCACCTGTAATTATTTTTATACTGCAAATAAGGTTTATTAGGGAAAATCGTCAAACCAGCAGCTTTTTGCAATAAACAAACTAAAGATTAAGTGTAATTTGGCTCAATGTGTCTAAAGGTATTAGTATTTTGTCCAAATTAAACATAGTTACTTAATTTGGTGACTTCTGGAAAATTTTAATTATTAAAAATGACAAAAACTTTTTGTACTTAGTGGAGCAACCTTTATACATTATAACTAACTCTTTTTTTGAGAGAGGTAAAGTCATTCATCTCTAATGAACACTGTAATATCTTTCATGAGTTTTTTTTAAACAAAGGCTCAGTGGACCTTAAGATACTCATTGATTTTTGTCCAGTTTGAAGGTCCACCCATTTCAAAGCTGCACCTTCCTGACAGACAGCGGCCAAATTTCTCCAGGACTTCCTTTTGCATGATTGCATCCATCTTGCCCTCCACATTCTGCAGGTTTCCAATGTTGGAGAAGGCAAAGCAGTGCCAGAGCATTACTAAGCCTACTGCCCTAATCCAATGTAGGCATGGTGCTCTTTACAGAGCATACTTCGTTGTTCCTTCTCAAGTTGTACTTCTGATCAGTATAAAAATTTCTAGAACTCAGGATTATTCTTTAGAAACAGACATTCTCCACATCGCCACAAACTTCTGATATTAGTTCCATTTTCTGAGTAATGCTTTTTCATGGGATGTGTTTATTACAAATGTCTGAACATGTTTTAGTGTTTGAGTTAAATAGTCTAACATGCAAGATTATTTATTAACATCATTACCTTTGGTAAAACATTAACATCTGATAACCAGTTTATTTAGCAGCATAAGGCCTCAAACTTGGCAGAAACTCAATGTTTATTGTGTTTCAAGACTTGATTTGTTCAAAAAAAATTGCATTTAAGTTATTTAAAGTTTGAAAAATCCTAACAACAGTTTGACCAAAAAGGTTCCTCTTAATCATGACTTTGTAAGACTGATTCCTTGCTTTTACTTTCTGCTAAAGAAGTAAACCTCTGGTTCGTTTCTGTAATGTCTAGAGTGCCTGCTGTTTTAATTATACCTGTATATCAATGTATATTCAATTTCAATTCAGTTTATATTTATATAGTGCCAAATTCACAACACATGTCATCTCAAGGCACTTTACAGTTCAACCAGATCATATAGTCAAATTGATTCAAAGTTTTCTATCTAAGGAAAACCAGTTGATTGCATTGACTCATTATATATATCACCGCTGATCTGAATAGTTGTTCCTTCCTAAGTCATCATAAAGGCAAATAACATTTACTGCTGCTGGATCTCCCTGAGTAAATATGTGAGTGAAGGTTTTATTCATGCTGCTTTCTACTACATGAGTAGGCGGATGATTGAACACATTGTAAAGCCCTTTGGAGTCCCCAGTTCAATTCAACTCAGTTCAGTTTATTTCTATAGCTCCAATTCACAACACGTCATCTCAAGGCACTTTACAGTTCAACCAGATCATACAGTCAAATTGATCCAAAGTTTTCTATCTAAGAAAAACCAGTTGATTGCATCGACTCATTGACTCCAATGCAATGCCTCAAGCTAAGCATGCTTGTAGCGACAGTGGAGAGGAAAAACTTCCTTTAAAAAGGAAGAAACCTCCAGCAGAACCAGGCTCAGTGTGAGCGGCCATCTGCCGAGACCGACTGGGGTTTAAGGAGACGGAAGCAGAGATACAAAAGGCAACTGTAAAAGGAGGCCCCGTCCAGGAAACATACAGCCAGGCAGAAGAGCTCCAAGCCAGCTCCCATGTCAGAGGATGAAAGAGCACATCCAGCCAGTCAGAGAAATAAGATCAATCTTAATTATAAAGAATCCCATGAAATCATTATTTCTAAGAGCAAGTGGGATGATAGTTCAACAGAGCTATGGCTCTGGGTGAGTTTGGTGACTGTATTAAAAAGATATCTAGGATTATTCCTATTCTCCTCTATTAAATAGGAGAAATATGCTGCTCATCATATACAGCAGTAAACAGATTTTCCAGATTAAGTAGGGATCCAGACTTGAAAATTGTTATATAAGTTCCGGCCATTTAAAATGTGTTTGTTGGAAGCTGGGGAAAGGTCCTACAACCCGACAAGACCTTAAAGCTTCAGTTAAGACCTATATTATTAACTTATAACTTTACTTGATAATTAAGATTTGATCCCATCATCAGATAATTTGATTTAGAGTTCCTACTGAGGAAAATGGTAAATTATCTGGAATTGGCTTTTGTTGTCTTTATAAAAGTGTTGAAATGACAAGTTTTGATACTTTCAATCAATTCTTTTAAAGAATAAATGTCTACATTTCAGAAAGTAATGTGTACAAGCATCTACATCTTAAAATGATTATTGACTGTGAATCTACAGATACATTTTCACTCACAATTTAGCATTAATTTCAATGTGTTTTTAACTCAAGTCATTAGGACCTTTAGTTATTTAGCTTGAACTTAGTTGGGTGAAGGCAAACAAACCAGTTAAACTATTTTTACCTTTTAAAAATCCCCAAATGCTTTTAAGATATAAAACTGTTCATTAAGGAACCTGTATATTTTTTTCCAAATAATTAGTGTATAACTAGGGCAAATACGCTTTATCGCAAGTTTTAAAACCAAACACTGTGACAGCTTTGTTATGGTAGATGTTCTCTACTTAGAAATCATTACAAGAACAATTTCCAGAAAACAAATGTAAATATGTGTGTGGAAAAGCAAAGGATTTTCAAATGATGCTCCCCGTTTCTGTTTTTTCTACCTTAATATCTGTATGTTGTTTTAAATTATCCCAGTCTTGGTCTCCTTGGTCCCTGCCTATCTGTGGGACTACAGAATTGCCCCATGAGGAAAGTAATGAACAGCCTTGGTGATTGAATAAAACCCAAGAGTATTTATTCACAGTCAGTTTGGGGTTTAAAATAATCTCCCAACATTAGCAAACACATTTCTTTTGACTGGAAGCAATATTAACATCTTGAGTGACCCAGCCAGAGGCTAGACCTAGATCTAATAGATAATCTGTGGGGAAAGATAAAGATTAGGATGATTGCAAGAAGACCGTTTGAACTTGTTGTTGAGCTCATACCCTGAGATTAAATGTCAAATTACCAGTAGAAACATGGAAATGGCTGGTTAGCAACTATACAAGGGGGTTGATGGCAGAACTACCAATGAAGATATTTCTATTGATTATTTGTAGGATACTGTTTTCAATCGAAAATAAGTTAAAGTAAAGCTTTTGTAAATGAGCCACAGTTTACAAAATTCTTCTTATTCGTGTCTGTAATTATCTGGTTGATAATATTGTACGTTGCTTCATCTGGTTCAGAATGAATGTTTTCTGTGTCTCAGCCATGCACCCAGAGTCTGGAGACTCTGAACCTCGGCCACAATACGATCGGAAACGAAGGCGTCCACAAGCTGAAGGATGGACTAATCGCCAACCGCTCTGTGCTCCGGCTGGGACTAGCTTCCACCAAGCTGTCCTGTGAGGGTGAGAGTTGAAACTATATATCTGCTGCAGTGTTTGGGCTTCAAAGTGGCCATACTGACTATGCGGCTGCTTTAATTTGGAATGCAGGAGCCGTCGCTGTGGCTGAATTCATCGCAGAGAGCCCCAGACTGCTGCGTCTGGACCTTAGGGAGAATGAGATCAAAACCGGGGGCCTTATGGCTCTGTCGCTTGCACTGAAGGTCAACAACTCGCTGCTGCGACTCGACCTGGACCGGGAACCCAAGAAAGAAAGTGTAAGCATCAAGAAAATGTTAAAAAATAAAAAAAGTTTAAATTCCCTCAGTTTTGACCATAGGTAATGAGGAAAATGAAGGTAAATGCTCATCCAAAAGCAGAATGTCACACACACTACCAAGTTTTTTTGGTCATGTTTGGTTAAAGAGCTTCCTCCTCAATGTGCTGGAGTCAGTGGTACAATTTAAGACAGAATGAAATTGGTGGGACAGACATGTTTGTGCTGCATTGACATGAGATAAAATTAGAGAATAAAACTAAGAGGCTTGTTATGGATCATTTTACCTGATTTATTTTGCTTAATAGTAGAACTGCATGATTTCAAAAGAGCAATATCCCATCACATATGTGAAAGGTGTGAATGCTAAAAATACGCTTAAACCTCCATTGTTGATTTCTTTTCACTTTGAGTTTGTCCATAAAGTCATCAGGTTAAAGAAATGTATTAAGAATCACCAGAAGCCACAACAAGTTCATAAGCTGGTAGATGCTGGAGCCCCAGAAACACTGTTTAATAGAGTGAGTTTAACATCACCATGGGCTTGGTGGGTCCCAAACATTAGAAGAATGTTCAGCTCTCATGCATGGTGGTTGTAGTACTGTACCATGTATCCCCAAAACAGACAGAAAAGTACAGAACTAGCTTTAAATCTTGTAGCCTTTCTTTAAAACCCAGAGCTGTAGACTGTAGAATCTGTAACTTTATTATTTTTTTGATAATTCCCAGGCCCATCGTAGGTCTTTGGACTCCTCACCACCACTGAGTACCAGATGCAGGGTAGATTGTAATAAGTGATTCATAAAGTGTTATGTTGTAGAATACAACAGTGTTAAATGCAATCTTAATAGACCCTAACATCTGATCTCAGCTTTTTTTTAAAAGGTTTGGAAAATAACAAATACATCCTCTTACCAAAGAGGGAAACTGATTTACTGTGGATGATCGTGGTATCTCTGCTCCGTGTTTCAGGTGAAAAGCTTCATCGAGACGCAGCGCGCCCTGCTGACCGAGATCCAGAATGGCTGCAAGAGAAACTTCATCCTTGCAAAGGAAAAGGAGGAAACCGAGGAAAAGATGAGATTGTCAGCCTCCATGGCTGAAATAGCTACGGAGGACGGAGCGAGGGAGGTAGAGGAGGATGAACCAGCTTCAGCTGAGAGAAAGGAAGATGGGGAGGAGAAGGAAGCAAAGGAAAACAAATCCCAAACTAGTAGCCAGTCGAAAATGAGCCCAGAGATCAATGTTCCTCCTCAAAATCTGGATTCTGACTCTGACACGGAGGATGAGGATGTAGGAGAGGTAGTAACCAAGTCTTCTTCTGTTGTTTCAAATCAGACAGCACCTCCAACCCAAACAGGAGTTAGTCAGTCTCCCCTTAGTGCCTCACGTACACCCTCATCCCCCTCTGCATCACCTGTAAAAGGTTCAAGTGTAATATCCGGAATAACTGTCACAGAAACAACAGTCCCTGCTCCTCCGGGAACTCCTCCCTCACCTGGCCGCTGTATCTCTGTATCGAGTCCCGGAAGGGGCCATAAGATTTTCATGGTAACAAGGGTAGAAAGTCCCCCTGAACAGCTGCAGAAAATTGCTCCTGCAGCTCCCTGCCAGCCTAAAGGCTTGAGCGGACAGCAGACACAGCCCCCGCATGCATCCCAAACACAGCTGACCCCAGAGGGCATGAAGGAGAGCCCACCTGCTCCCTCAACAGACAGTAAAATGACAAAGGAGACTCCCAAAGACAGACTAGAGTCTGATGCAGCTCAGACGCACAAACCGGACCCACTGTCATCAGGTCAGTCCTCAGAGGAGGCAAAAGCCAGAACTTTAGATTCAGCCGCAGTGACAGATCCAAGTTTGCAAACACCAGCATTGCCTTCAAATTCCTCATCTGAGCAGGATGCGGCTTTGAAGCCAACAAACGACTCTGAAAAGCCCCAACCTGAGTCACCCTCTGCAGAGGAGCGCTGCAGAGGAGAGGAACATGAGGGAAGTGAACATGAGGATAGGCATGAAACCTCCCCAAATGAACTGAATCAGTCTACACAGCAGCCGCCCCAAACATCTGCACCAGAGCACCTAAAGGATGAGCAGGCAGCAGAACCAGAGGGGACCTCCCCTCCAAACCAAACAGAAGATAAGCCAAAGCAAGAGGAAGCAACTCTAGATTTGGTTCCTTCAGTCCAGACTTACCAGCAAACTCAGCCTGAAGATGTTGGGGAAATTAATACTTGCTCACAGGGGGAGGATCAAGAATCGACTGATGAGAGCTCTGCCGATGAGTTATTCGTTGAGGCTATGGATGGAGAAGTTGTCGGTTCATCTCTACCCAACGGTCTGAAACCAGAGTTCTCCCTCCATCTACTGGACAGTGAATCTCCAAAGCCCAGCAGCTGCGTGATGGAGCATGGTGAGTCACTGCTCCCAGTTCGATTGATCACCTCCAAGTTGATTCACGTGGTCTAAACATCTGTTGTGTGTCTCCTGTGTAGTTAGTGCCAGTTGTGAACAGGGACTGGAGGAGCTGCTCCTAGAAGCCAGCCTGGACAATGGGAGAGATGCACCATAAACTGGTAAATGTCAGACTTTTATTTCAATCATATATGCAAATAATGGTAAAAAAAAAAAAAAAAAAAACTAAATTTAAAACCATATAGATCAATGTTATCTCAAGAGAGAAACTGAAAGAAAAAGTAGCTTAAAGAGTAAAATATATAAGTTGAACCATTTATAAACAGTTCAGCGTTGAGAGTATATAGTATTTAAGGTTTTGTTAGATTATAAAAAGGCTTTAAAGATATTTATGCTCAATGAATTCATCCATCATGTGAATCTGTATTTTCTCCCTTGATTGCAGCTTATGTCCTTTGGGGGTGTGCAACTAGCTGTTTTAGAAATCAGTTATAATCAACAAAATCCCCAAAAAATGCACTGCTCTAAATAAAATAAGGGAAAACGTAAACAACGCAGTATAACTTTTATTTATTTTATTTATGATAACAATTTTATTTATAACAATTAAATCAAACTTCTGTGAAATCAAAGTGTCCACTAAAGAAGCAACGCTGACTGAGAACCAATTTCACATGCTGTTGTGCAAATAAAACAGACAACAGGTAGAAAATATTGACAATTAGCAAGATGCGTTCAATAAAGGAGTGGTTCTGCAGGTGGGAACCACAGACCACTTCTCAGTACTTATGCTTTCTGGCTGATATTTGGGTCACTTTTGAATATTGGTAGTGCTTTCACTCTGGTGGTAGCATTAGATGGACTCACAGAGCCACACTGGTGGCTCAGGTAGTGCAGCTCATCCAGGATAGTACATCAATACAAACTGCGGCAAGAAGGTTTGCTGTGTCTGTGAGCGTAGTGTCCAGAGGCTGGTGGCGCAGCCAGGAGACAGGCCGTACACCAGGAGACGTGGTGGAGACGGAAGGAGAGTAACAACCGAGCAGCAGGACTTCTACCTCTGCCTTTGTTTAAAGAGGAACAGGAGAAGCATTGCTAGTGCTTTGCAAAATGACCTCCAGCAGGCCACAAATGTGTGTGTGTCTGTACAAACGGTTAGAAACCGACTCCATGAGGATGGTATGAGGGCCATACATCCACAGATGGAGGTTATGCTCACAGCCCAACATATTGCAGGGCATTTAGCATTTGTCAGAGAACTACAGGATACTGCCCCAGACCTGAATCTGATTGAGCACATCTTGGACATCATGTCGCGATCCATCCACCAAGGTCATGTTGCTCCACAGACTGACCAGGAGTTAGTGGATGCTTTATGAGAATATTATATTCAGATCTGGAATATGATGTTTGAGTGGGTTTTTTTTTTTTTTTCTTTGAGCAGTGTGCACTTAGATTTGTTGTTTTAAAGTAACTAACTTTAAAAGGGTCACAATGTAGGACTACATGCTGTGAGAGGACATATTAGTTTAGTTTGAACATGCTCTGTTTCTTCCAAGACTGATTTGTCTCTGCTCTCGCTTTCCAGCAGCACTACAAGGACAGATGGATGCAACACTAAGATGATTCGTCAGGCTCTGCAACAGGACTGGCTGCTCTACAATATATTTGTAATTTCTTCAACTTAATCAGCATTACAATGTTTCCATAAAGGACCGACGACACAGCGTTGCAGTTCAAGCTCCATACATGAAAATACAAAGACAGCATCATCTGGAGCTCTACTGTGATGAGTAGTCTTCTACATCTATACCTTCATCGTCCACCTGAAAGGTCGGGCAGGTGTGAGGATCTCCCATCATCACTACATTTTCTCATGATGCGATATTTACACACCTCCATGAATCACAGACAGATCAGGGATGGAGGAGGGAGGGTAAAACACTAACCAAAGACCTTTCTGACAGCCCTTACTTGCTCTCTTTAGATTGTTGTTGGGCAAATTGATCACAGGCAGATTTTTATGACTCACAGAGACATGACGGTGGTGATGATAAACATGGTGGACCCCTGCTGAGTAGACCTGCTGGCTTTAAACTCTTGAGGCGGGAGTAAGTTGCTGTTGAAGGCTTTTCTAACCAAGAAAGCTGAGGATGTTTATCAATCTGTGTAAATGTAAACTTTGTGTGTCTCCTGCCTCCCCTCCTCCTCTCTCTCCCCCCCCCACCAGAAACAGAACTCTAAGGGACCTCTGCCAAAGTGACTTTTTTTCCCCCCCTTTGTTTTCTGATCTTCTGCTGTCTGGCCCCTCAGGCATCTGCCAGCCCCACCTATTGTTCAAATCTGACACGGAGAACATTAAACCACACGTTTTGCATGATTGAAACTGCAGTTTTGCTTTTGAAATTGGAGGGAGAAAAATAAAAAAAAACACAGAAATCATGTCTTGGACAAAAGTCAAATTACAGAAAAGTCTAAATAGATTAGTTTTAGTTGAATCTGAAGCTCCAAATTCCTCGCTGTGCGAACCTTATCTCAAGATTTCAACTTTTATTTGTGTTGCCTGTAGTTTCTCCAGTGCATACTCCCCTCTTTTCAGCTGCTTTGAGAAATCTTTTTTTTTGTTTTGTTTCATAGGATCTTTTCAGGTTCAAAATGTTCATGTTTCCCTCTCTTCATGGGCTTTTTTTTCTGCCCTTTGTTGTATTTCATATACAAACTAGAGAAAATATTTAGATTACATTACATTTTTTTAATGGGATAAAATATATGAGGCTTAAAAGGCGGATTTAATTAAATGGTTGACTACTGGGGTCCAGAAAGCTGTAAACACGCCACAGTCCCTGTTCTGCAGCAGCTTTTGGGCACAAGGGGGTGTCAATGGGTGCTTTTTTTCCATCGAGGGAGAATTAAGTCTAGCTGAATAAAAAAATCACAGCATTAAATGTATCTTTGTGTTTCCGTGAACAGATCTGGTTATTCCTGCCTTCATTTTTACTTATTTGTTCTCATGAAGCGGAAAAAGGTAAGTTACTGATGGGGTTTTTTTCTCCTCCACTGAGCAGTGTTCAGTCCTCCTGCTTCTCCACCCAAATGATAGTCCCCCACCTCCCCAACCCACACTGTTTGTAATGCTTAAATGTTTAGAAATTTTTAATAATTTGTTAACTTAATTGAAATGTGCTGGTAATCACAAAGATATGTATGGCAAAATTTGTTTCTCTCAAATAAATGCATGTAATGACTAATGAAACGACTCCTTGGTGAATGAAAATAGTTGTTTGGGATTTGTTTCAATGGGAAGGTTAAAAATATACACAGTTTTGATGATATAGTAATTTAAGTTGGTTTCATTTTTCTTTTTTGGTTTGTATTAAATACAAAGTTAAAACCCAGTAATTACATTCATTGTACAGTATGATGAATAGATACTTGGCTCAGATTATTACAAAAGTGGAAAGATACAAGAGTAGGATTTTGTAGTTTTGTTTTTTATACACATTTCTATCAGTCCAGTGTATAAGATGAGTAAAATCAGAGCTTATTTAAGCTTTATAATCTAGAGGAAAAGCAATGGCATAGAGAGGGGATTGATGAGCCTGAATAGAGGTAAAGCTCAAGCTTAACTCTGCATTCTGAATATCTGGAAATACATGGCTAATTTCTGTTTAATCCTTTGATGCAATATATCTATATACCTAAATGGGTCATCTACTATTTCAAACATAATTTCTAAATAAAAGCTGCATGGTACTCTCTAACCATCATTATATTCAGGGACTGGAGGAATCCTCTGTCCAATAGATGAACTGGTTTATTTCAAACTGTTGGACAACCCAAGAACAAATACAAAAGGTCTTATTAATAAAGATGTTGGTTGAATTTTTGAAGTTTCATTATCTGTATTTACATGGGCTAAAATGATACTAGGAATGGAATAACCCATCATTTTAAAAAGCTGTTTGGAAATGCACTCGGGGACAAAGATATTAGAGACATATCCTTTGGTAAAATGAAAATGATTACTATTACGTGTGAAGGAAAAAGTGATGCTTAAAACCCTTAAAAGCAGCATGCCAAATGTTTATTATGTGGGGAAACTGCTCTGTTTTTTTTTCAGGAGGGACCTATGCCCTTAACAAAATAGCATCATCAGGAAGTTAAATGAAGCATCAAGGTCAGAATTGTCAAGAAGTTGAAGATTGCTCAAAAAGAGCTTCCAAATGGACAATGTCACTGTAAACTAACTGTGGGAATACAAAGTTCACATATTGTAAAGGAAATTCACCAAATAGAAAATTATTGAACTGGGTCTGACTTCTGCTTCGTACTTTAAGAAGACCGTCTTAAATTCAATGTGAGGCCTGTATCTCACTCAGACAAATATAATTATATGTGATTATATTACAGTACTGCAGCTGTGTGTTTTCAGGCTTTTGCATAAGATAGACATCAACAAACTATCCAAAACACAGCATCTTCACTTTTAATAAATAAATAAAAAACTTAATTGATATCCAGTTAATTTTAAAACTATTGCTTATTTGAGCATCTAAATGTTATGTTGCTTTTACATAGTGTGTATACTCAGAGTGGGGCTCTGAGAATCCAAACTCAGCTACTTGGTTACTGTTCACTCTACCAAGTTGTGGTTAGCTTTGCCAGAAAGAGCTGCTCAGAATATCATTCTGATTTCAACCACTTCATGCAACCATCTTGATTTTTATTACTGAGGTTTTTTTAGTACCTGAAGTGAAACTTAAATTAACTGCCATTTTGATGTATCTGATTGTATCTTGAACTGATTTTTGCACTAAATGCACTAATTTGTTTCTATAACTTACCCCCTAAACATTCCAATGGTTGTTTCCCAGATTATACAGGTATCTGGAAATTGCCCTTAAGAATTTACCAGCTGTGGAGTTCCACATTTCTCTTACTGTTAGGCTGTCAGATTTATTTTAGATTTTTCCATGACTTAAAAGATGAATCATTCCTCTGAGATATTCGCTAATATTTTATCATATTATATCACACAGCTGCTGTTATCTCAACTGCTCATCCATCTCATCTCAAAGTTCTCTGTTTGGATTTAGTGCTAATAAAATTGGAGAACTTCAGGAACTAATTTCCATGTTGAAGAACCTAGCTGGATATTATTGTTCTGGTGCATTATCTTATTGGGAGTAGCCTTTGTAGGGTGGGAGACCTTGATGTTTAAGCAATACTCAAGTTTCAAGATTCCCATTGTGATCTGGGGTCATTCTCGTGAGGGAAGCGCAATGAGAAAAAATGCATCTGACTGAACAGGATGTGCCTCCTGGACCAGATTCACTCAGGCTGACTCTTGCAGAAGATGAATCCTTCCCCTCAAGAACCCCCCACCACCACCACCTAATCACGAGGAGGTACTACAAGGGTTAGGGTGTGGAGTACATGGTGGGAACATGGCTCAGTGTTCCTCTGGGAATGCCAAAGTGCATTAATCCATAGAATCCAGCACTGATCCAGTAGAGAGAGGGCTGTGAGAAAATCAGAAGATTTACAATATGAGTAGAGAAAGCTTACAATAGTAGTGAAGTATTACCTGGAAGCTGAATTCAGGTTTTTAAAGGCAACCAGATCTTTAGAATCACTTCATTCAATTAATACATTTCTTAAGCAGCTGGAAATTAATATTAAATTACACATTTTATAAATAAATTTGGTATTTAGGTGTTATTTATCACTATTTAAGGTAATTTCTTAAATGATTGGGTCTAAATGTGGTCAGATTGTCACAACTAAACCACTATCTGATATTTTCAAACCCGGAACCACATATTTTTTTTTTTTTTTTTTAACTTGATTAGCTTTACTGTTCAAGATCAATAAATATACATTATACCGATTATGTTGCTGTAGTGCTTTAGATTTGTATTCCTTTTAAAGCGTACTAATATTTAAATATACCATTAACGCAAAGGTATAATTGTCAAACTGAATATAATTTGTATTCCTTGTAGTGATTATGGTTAGATTATAAAATATGGATTGAAGTTTAAAATCAAAGCTTAACTGTCTTTTTTTTTAATCATTTTTTCATTACTTCTTATGTTGTGTTCTTAGTTGTGTTTTTCTTGTCTTTAGAGGTTCTTTACAGTTTGGTTTTAAAACTACGCTTGAGGTGAAATATGTCCTCATGTTCAGTTTCTCTGCTATTTGCAGTGTCATAAGACCAGAGAAAACACTGAGGCTTCTTCTCTGTCTACAATAGATGCAGAATTGTGCAATAAAGAACAGCTAACAGAAAAGTTCAAAAGTTTAATGTTGATATTGTCTTTATAAAGTGATGAGAAACACTGCTGAATTTTCAAATTATTTTCGATTTTTTTTTTTTTTTTTTTAGAATAAGATTGAAACTTTATTGTCTTTCCACTTTCACAAGTAAAGAGCAATGAAATTAACTCTTTGCATTTAACCTATCTCCTTGGGGAGCAGTGGGCTGCCACAGTGTGGTGCCCGGGGAGCAGTGTGGGGTTAAGGGTCTTGCTCAGGGACCCAGAGTGGCAGGCTGTGGGAGTGGGCCTTGAACTCAGAACCTCCGGATTCCAAGCACAATGCCTTAACCACTAAGTCACCACTACCCTAATCACGAACTTTGCTTTACAGTAAAAACAATACTTTATGACCCAGTCCAGGTTTCCTACAGTCTATATTTTACATTTATCTAAGATGGTCCTACTACCAAGAAAACATGCCCCTTCTTTGTGTTTTTTGAAACAAATAAGAGAATATAATTGTATACATTTGCTCTTTTCAGCAGTCTCTTGTCAGTGTTCAATAACAAGTTATGGTCTTAAGTTTTTGAGCGGGATATTAAATTATGTCTTTCGAATCAGATGCAAATTTTACTGTTTTAATATTGTTGATGTGTCTACAAATTCAAAGCCTTTCGGGTCGGGCCAACTGGTCTTACAATTCAACTTTATTGTCATTACATCGTCATAAGTACAGAGCAACAAAATGAACTCTCTGGTTTTAACCCATCCCTTTTGGGAGCAGTGTGGGGTTAAGGGTCTTTGCTCAGGTACCCAGGGTGGCAGTCTGTGGGAGTGGGGCTTGAACTCACAACCTCTGGGATTCAAGCCCAGTGCCCTAACCACTAGATCACCACTCCCCACCACTCCTCAACTTCAGATAGTTAGTTATTATAAGTAAAGTAATAAGTTGTTTTTTTGTTGTTTTATGGTTGTGATGAGCACAGACTTTCAGGCTTAGTTCTACTTTTCTACCACTCAGTTTGATGTATGAAAGTTCCTCATTATAAAAAATAAGAGGCAGTAAAATGAAAACCGAATGAGACAAGATCTGCATGATCTGAGAATAATGGAGGAATAGAGATAACCTCTTATTTAAATATTCATTTATAATGTTTTTACCTGTAGCTCCAAATATTTTGGTGATTAGCCTTTTTAGTATTTAATGAGGTGAAATTACAACAACAAAAATAATAACAATAATAATAATCGTAATATGTATGATGAGATTATATCTGTTTGAAAGGGATTTCAATTATATTATGTCCCTGTTTTAGATTAATGCACGATTGATAGAAGAGGAGAGAAAGAAGATTGAATGACAGCGAAGGAAAATAGGAACGCTGGAAAGATCAGTTGAAGAAAATGAAAAGTCTGCTTAAAAGCGTTAAACAGAGAGCAGGCAGAAGTCAGCTAGAAAGAGAAGAAGATTGAATGACCACATGGCAATAATACACACTATTGATTGATCAATTTTATTAATCTTAGGAAATAGGAGAGGCATGTTCCTGGATTTGTAAATGTAAATGTGTAAAAATGGATGAAAGCATAATTGTCCCCCTTTCCTATTTTAATTTTCATGAAATTGATTTATTTTTATCTACGAGCTGGAAATGTCCCCAGAATGGATTTCATCTGGTCACATTAGGTTTGAAATTTTGTCATTTAACCAGAAAATTATTTGCTTTTATGAAGCAGATAAAGTTAATAGTCAAAATAATATGAATTTATATTCAACTATGACAAATGTAAGCACTAAGAATGCCAGTATATAAGAAAATATTTCAACAAAAACATTATTTCCTTTAGCGAGAGGTTTAACAATAGATGTACGGGAGGTGTTTACTATTAAAAACATTTAGCCAAGCTGTTATCAGTGATGGGGACAGTGATGATCAAATGCTTTCTTGTCTGGCCTTTCTTTAGGCTTGGCCATGCCTCAGGAATGTGCTGGCATGCTGGTGAAATATAGCAGGGATTTATCTGTAGTGTCACCCCGTATCTGGCCTGATCCAAAACCCAGTGGACTGAAACAAACACAGGACCCAGGACTGATCAAAGAGCAAACGGGTTTGTGGTTTTCACTACATCTCAAAGAGTTGGTGGTCAACTGTACTTCCAGCTAAAGATGAACCTTCTATACCTAACCAGAGTTCATTTATCAAAATCCTGTTTTGATTGTAAAAGTATTTATCTAAAGATTTCTCCTGTTCTTTGCCTTATTCGTCATTTTTGTACATTAAAGATCAGCAAACTGATTTGAATATCATACAAGGATAACCCAAATAAAGAGAAAATTATGTCTTCAAATCATGGAAATATCAATATTTCCATATTATTGCACTATCTGGGATAACGAGGAAGGAGAGTAACCCTTCAAAGATATCAATAAGGTTGTTATCATGCTAATTTCACAATTATGCCAAGATGATGTTTAAGAACCTGAATGTGGAAAATGCACAAAAATAATTGAACTTTATTGATCTCACATTGGAGAGATTTACCCCTGCATTTAACCCATCTGCTTGGGGAGCAGTGGGCTGCCATTGTGGGGTTCAGGGTCTTGCTCAGAGACCCAGTCTGTGGTCTATGCCCAAACCTCTATTCTGCCATTCCCCACAATAAATAGAGATTCATTAATGTCTGTTATCAGTTTATGTGGTTCGACTGTCAGCTGTTGTAACCTGTACATGCTGTACTTTATTGAACTTCTTGCTGCTAGTAATTGACCTTTGATCTCAAGGCACTTGTCTGACTTTTCTCTTTGTATTTAGGTGAAATGAGAGTTTTACCGAAATCGTCAAAACCTAAAACAGGTCAAATAGTTTTTGATCTTTGCAATAAATAAAAATTGTTTTCCATTTATGTGACAGACTTTGGGCTAATCTTCTCTCATAGGTTCTAATTAAGCCTTTCAGTCAGATGTAAGTCTATACTTTGTCTACGGTGCTCCAAAAGCTTTATTTATTTATCTTTTTCTGAACCCTTTATGGTGGACATTTATCGTTTGAGCCACTTAGCCATTTATTTTCTCAATTTGTGATTGTTTGCAGACTCTAGGTCTTATTCCAATGCCTCTAAAATGCATCTTTGGATGCTTCCTATAGATTATCATCACCTGATGTAATCTGGTCACAGTATTTAATCCTCACAGCTAAATGGAGATTAAATGAGAGCAAACAGGTTTGTTTGAAGTGTGAGTCTGGCTCTTTGTGCGCTGAATTATGCCGTACCAAAACGCTGAGGAAGGGAATGCAAACAAAGTCTACAGAGGAGCTGAAGGAAAAGCCCACCCTCCTCTCTTGCTCACATGACTGTGATTAGAACCAAGAAGGTGGAGAAAGAGGACGACGGTGAAACTGAGAGGGAGCATTTGGGAGGAAGATCCATGAATTACTCAAATTCGCTTGTGGAGTCAGGCTTGCCTTGCCTCTTCTGCTTCTTTGGGGTAACTAAGCTTTACTTTTGGTATTATGACTACCTTTTACAAAAGGTTTTGCATCAAGAGCTTTTTAGCTGACGGCCTGAATATAGAAAGAGATTTTTTATTTACTTTCCAGTATTATAAGAATTTTTTTTTTTTTTTTTTGATATTTGAAAGCTAATAGCCCCTGATGGCTTTTAGTATTAAAATGTCCTGATCAGATTATTATTTTATCCATAAATACGTCGTCCTCCAGGAGGCTCATCTCAATAGTCCTGAGGAACGATATGCATTTAACTTGTATGATTGAAGCAAAATGCATCTAGTGCCTTTTCTCCCTGCATATTCCAGAATATGTAATTTAAATAAGATATCATCAATAAAATAATCTCTATATAATTTATACTGCCAGGGAAGGAAATATGGCAGGCATCTCTTAATAAGACAACTTAAAAGACGTATAAATTTGGGGGGGAAAAAAAGGTTTTGAAATTTTGATTTTAAAAAATGACATGGTGAAAGCAATATTCTTTATAATCAGTCAACAAGGCTTCAATGTCATTATAGAGATCCAATTTTTTAAATAGTTGCTGACAAGGTTTTTGCATTTTTCCAGTCGTTTGACAATTTCCCCTGGCCAAAGAGCTCCAAGCTGGGGCGGATTTCTTGCCATCACCCTAATCTTTAGCTCCTTCTAAAGATTCCCAATCAATTCCAGTCATGACTCTGCCTGATGCCACTCCTCTTACATGACTTCATTATTAATAATCTGGGTTAAAGGAAACATCAGCCAGGGGTATGAATAATTTCATGTTTTATTTTATAAACTTTATTGACATCCCAGTCTTAATCCAGATGTTTTAAAAGTAAATGAGAATTATGTATATATTCATTTTTAGAAGTACATCTCAGAGGTCAGACACTGATGCTGGATAGAAAGGCCTGTTTCCTCAGTCTTCCTCAGTCTCCACTCTAAGAAATGTCTGTAGGGTTGAATCCAGAATATTGTGCATCCCGTTGTTCTTTCGCTCCAACTTAACCTTTGGACTCTGCTTTGTGGACAGTCATGTTGGAACAAGCAGGTGTAAGCTCTAAGCCTTTCCCACAGGTCAGGAGTTAGAAATAGTTTGAAGTGCCTGTATGATGAAACTTTATAAGTGGATCTAAGCCTGCTTCTGAAATACAAACCTGCCTTTTGCATTTTAATTTGCATCATTGCAGTCTGCCACATGCTGAACCTCTGCAAAACTCAGATTCCTCTTGTAGTTTCTCTGACGTAGAGGTGTGATTCTTTACCCCAGGGAACACATCTCCATTCTCCAGCATCCACTGGTGGCTTCATTAACTTTAATGGTTCTGAAGCTTTGCATTGCACTTGGAGATAAAAGGCTTGCACATAGAAACCCATCACCTGAACCTTAGAACAGTGTTTAAATTGGGACTTTTATCCATTTTTTTCCCTGATTCTACAGTCTTTTGAACTATAATAAAAATCCTACTTTTGTAGAACCATCTTCGAAGACATGTCTCTACCAGCTAACCCTATTTAGGGACTAAACCTTTCAACCATTTTCTTTAGAAAATACGTCAGAAAATACATCTAACTCAGTCTGACTGGAAGGTGAATATCAATGAGTGTCACTTTCGCCACAATTTTTAATTAGATTTAGGTCTGGGTTAAATGCTTTGATCTAAATCATTGCAATTTAGCTCTGAATGTTACTTTAAGCATTTATTCCTCCTAAAAGGCGGACCCGTCAAATTTAATCTCAATCTGTTTTGTGTAACCTCTAATGGGTTTTCTTCCTGTATTTACCTCATCCATCCACACATCAACTTCTTTTCCCTTAAAAAGTAGATTCCCACAGCATAATGCTTCCACAATCACGGTCACTGCTGTCTCTTCCTCATTTCATATTCTAAAAAAGTTAATTGGTGGTTGTGATGTGACAAAATAAGAATATCTCTGTATAAAGTGGAATTATATAGATGTGAATTTACATCACATTTTGTCTTCATTTTTCCTTCCAGTATCAGGTATGAGGCTGCGGCACTGGTGCATGCTGGGGGTGACTGCCCTGCTGCTTCTGTGTGAGATAGCGGTCAGTCAGCTGTGTAAGTCTCTGATCACCATGGTGGATGGCTTCCATACACTTTTCATCCTCATGCAAATGGCGCTCCTTCAAACTAAAGGCATCATAAAACCTCACATCCACTCCTTCGATGCTTCTCCATCTTCCCCGCATGACTCCTTCACTTTAGAGGCATTTCCTCACCCATCTGCTGAACTTCCACCTGGAGCTCTATCTGACGTCGAGCAGCCCAAGCAGGACCCTCCATCAATGGTTAATCCACACAAACGTTTCACCCCAGGAGCTCCAAACTGCAGTCTGTCCTTCCCCAACAGCAGGATCCAGGTTGTCGGTGTTTTCATTTCCTCCCTTGTCTTGGTTTCTCTCTGTGTCTCCTACTGCTTGGAAATTATTAGTTTTATTGTGAAGCCCCACCCGGTTCAGCACCCACTAATACCAGTGGTGGTTGGAGCTGGGAGTCTGCTTTATAAGTTGCTCCTGTTTATTCTGGACTGTGATGAGCTGCAGGATAAAAAGGCAGAGATCTGCAGCCGCATCAGGACCGAACCTCACCTTTATATAAATCACAAAGGTAATACCAGCTCAAATATAAAACTAAATCGAAATTAAGGCTTTCATTTCACAGAGAATAAAGTAACCATCCCAATCATTCTAACCATATCTTTACACTGATTCTTTTTTTTTTACCTCATTGAAATACACCAACTTGCACATATTTTTGTACCCAATGACCTCTTCCATATTTTGCACATTCGCTTCGTCATTGACTCTAAGCAGTCAGCTGGTTTCCTTGGGATAAAAAAGAAACTTTTAACAAATCTATCTTCACAATCTGATTGAATTGTCTCTGTAAAGTGCAGTAAGATCACAGACGTTGTGAATTTGCAATATACAAATAAACTGAATTGAATCGACATTAGAGCCCTAAAATGTAAAGTGATACATGCTTTTCATATTGTTTCATAGATAAAAAAAAAATCTGAAAAATATTCTGCAAAGACAATACTTTTCAAAACTACTATTTGCTGCTTTGATAGATAGAGGCATTTTGGAAGTTAGTTTCTGCCAGTTTTGCCAATCAACACATTGAAATCTTCTCCAATTCCTCTTTGCAGAGTAGCTCCGCCTCAGTTTTACTCGATGAAGATTATCAGTTTTCACATTTTTCTACAGATTCTCTCTTGGATCTAAGTATGGAATTAGACTGGGCCGTGCTAAGATGTCTAAAGTGTTTATTTGTAGCTCTGGCTGCATGTTTAGGGTTGTTGAAGAAAGGTAAACCGCAGCACAGGTCTCCAATGTTATCATTCAGGATCATGTGTGGTCATGACTTCCTGCCACATTATTTAATTGATTCTCTCCTCTCGCCTGTCAGTTTAGGTGGATGCTCTAGTCTTGATAGGTTTTTTTTGTTGCACCATAATCTGTTTTTTAGATGCTTGATCGATCAGAACCCTGTAAAATCCTGAAAGCTTCAAATATTGTATTATTTTATCCCCTGCTTTTAACTTCTGACAGAGATGTGGACTGAATTTACTGGTTAGGGGATTTCTGTAGGTTTATTCAAACAGGTAGAATATATGGTTACTAACTTTTTTATTATTGTAATTTTTTTAGCAATGGAATAATAATTGTCTTTACAATGAACAGTAATGCTGTACTTTGTTTTGGTTTATTTCATAATATGCCATCCTTTTATCTTATACCGCTTGTGGGTCAGGGACATGTCGGGCTGAGGCTTATCTCCAGCAGTCAATAGGCAAAAGGCAGGTTGCACTCTGAGCAGGCTGCAAGCCTATTGCAGAGTGACAAAAAGACATGGAACAAGGCACATATACACACCTATGGGCAATTTAGAGTCGCCAATTAACCTTGTAGTCATGTTTCAGACTGTGGGAGGAAGCCAGAGAGAATCAAGCCCTAAGATCTTGCTGCAGGGCATCAGTGCTACAAACTGTGCCAGCCATTAAAAATCCCAATTAAACTCATTTTATGTTGTAGTTGTAACGTGGTAAAGTGCAAAAAATACATGAGATATAAATATTGTTTCTAGACTCTATGATTAAACTCCAAAAGATTATACAATTGTGAAGCAAAAAAAAATAACAGTATAAATAGTTTAAGATGTTTGCCAAACCGGATGTGACACTATTCTGTGTATATTCAGCTGTAAGACAGATAACACATGGCTGAAGCTTGTTTTTCATTCCTCTGCTCCACTCCCACGGTCTGTGCTGCAGAGGAGTCCCGAGGCCTGGAGGAAGAGGAGCTTTCTGGCCCATCCAAAGTTCAAATTGCAACACACAACTGTTTCCACAGTGAGGCACTTGTACTCTGCAACCCAGGAACTCTCAATCTGCCTGACCATGGCTGCAAAACTGGCCTGCTGGAAATTGGTGAAGGAGAGAGCAGTGCTGCACATTCTGAGAGCGAGGGTCCAAAGCACCAACCTTGCATGGGACATTCTGGTAACAGAACATAACATTTTAAAGTTTTCCTCCAAAATGCTCATGGCCATTTTTATTTAACTCGACCCTCTCTGTTTGTTGCTATCACAGACTATGAAAATATACCTGAAGCCTCCTTGGTGTGCCAGTCATCCTCTGGATGGAGCTGCCTCTGCCTCCTGTCCTTCATCTTTTTCTTTCAGGGACTCTTCACATCCCTCCTGGCTCTAATCAACAGCATAGTGACAGTGTTGATTGGCCCACAGCTCCTGCACTGCTCTGGAGCCTGCAGCATCCTCATCTATCTAGATCCTTGCCTCTCCCTGCTAGCTGGCATTACGCTGATCGTGACATCTCTACCACAGGTCACTCTATTAATTTTTATTTTCTCCCTATCAAAAGGGCCAATGAAAGTTAAAAGTATATGTATTTCTCCTTTATACATTTCTGTATCCTCACTCATTAATTCTAAAGCTTTTTATCTATACTCCATCATTTTCCTCCCTAATATAAATGTTTTTAGTATTTCTAATTGTTTGGTAACTCTGGTCATATTAAGGTATGCAGACTATTAATCAAAAACATGTATTTTTTAAAAGGATAGTCATCATTATACCAGTGGCTTTAGTTCAAAGCTGTTATTTAATAGTTTGAGATTTTTTTAGAATCTAAGATTATACTCATACAACAAACAAACCACTTAATTCCTTCTTTACCTTTACCAGGAAAGACAAATTCCTATTACTTGTTTTAGTTTTCTTTTTTTTTTTTTCATCTAATTGCACCTTCTGCACTAACTGATGTTGGGCTTTCTGTAATTTATTCCTGCAGGTTCACAGATACGGCATGCTGCTTCTTCAGGCCTCACCTCCACACATATGTGTTTCTAATGTAGGGCGGAGGATTGCCAGCGTTCCTGGGGTGCAGGCTATACATGAACTTCACATCTGGCAGTTAACTGAATCGCTCACGGTGGCCTCTGTCCATGTGCACTGCAACGCTGGTTTTCCTCCAAACAGGTGAAAATCTTTACAGCAGACTGCGCTTGTTGTGGTTCTGCCATCAGGATGTCTGCAAACAATAGCTGCACCTGTGTGACCGATATAATACAGTATGTCAATGATTTTTATCCAGTTCAGAATTTTCTTCTATTAGAACTGACCATTTGGTCAAACAGGAAATTATAAGAAAGTGGTTGTTTTTTTACTTTTAATTGAAAAGATAACGTAGATAACAATCTTAGATAACAAACCACCTAAATGCTTAAAACATTTCTTTTAAAAAACCTTCATTTTAGAAGTTATTTATAACTATTACCTGCTTTATGTCCCCTTACCCTATGCCAGTGATTTATAATAAATGCCCAAAGTTTTGGAAGTGATTTAAGATAACTTACTGTGAGCTAATGAGATAAAACAGAAAGTTTTTTTAATCCATTACCCTATTACATCTAAACCTACAGTATTTAAGAAAATAACATTATTATTATTAAACCCAATCAATTAAAACAATCCAAAGCAAAGCAGCAGTAAGGGATGTAAATGAATCAAAGAAAAGAGGAAGATACTGAATGTTATGAGGATCTAATATATGGTTATATGTCCAGGTGTGCTGATCTGATGTCAAGTGTCACTAAAGTGTTGCAGAGTGTGGGTGTGAGCTGCTGCACCGTTCAGCCAGAGTTTACATCTCCATCTTCCCCAGTCAGAGGAGATGAAGCCTCTACCTTCATCCACGGAGAGGAGCCCTACTCTCCTCCTCTCCAACCGTGCAGCCTGGCCTGTGGGAAGGCCTGCGCCTCCAGTATGTGCTGTTCCCTCCAAGAGGAGAAGGAGGAGGAGTCCAGGAGTGCCCAGAGACAACCCGCTGGAGAAACAAATGAGGAACCTCAGACTATGATCATTGAGAACACAGTCCTCTAACTCAGAGATCTGGAACCTTTAAAATCCAAAGAGCCATTTAAGTCTGACTGATTAAAAATTGTTTAAAGCTGCAGTTATTGAGGCTTTGCTGATTGATGATGGCCATTTGATAAATAACAACTTGATATTATTTTGCATTATGATGTGTAGATTTTCTTCTATAGAATATTATTTTATGTTAAACAAAAAATAAAACAATAACACATAATTGCCAAGCTAACGACAAGAAACAATATTTTTTTGTTATTTTAATGTTATTCTGTTGTGAAAATTTAATCAAATATTATCTTTTAAACCCAGTAATGCCTCTAAGATTGGCATATATTATTCTACTACATTAGTTGTGTCTTTTTAGGCCACTATTAGGAGTCATTGTAGAGTTTCCAAAAAGGAACTTGTGGCTCCAGACCCCTGCAGAACCCTGTTCTGTTTAAGACTGATATAAAGGTGGAGACAAAAAAAAAAACAGTGTTAAAAGAGTATTAGTTTTATGATGAATATGAAATATTCCAAAGATTTTTTTTTTTTTTTTTGTTGCTTTGTATGCTGCTAGAAGTTTCATTCTTTTAAATGCCTCTACTGAAGTTGGATTTAGTGCAGAATTTAGCAATTATGTTAATTTGTTTTTTCTTAAGTTTTTGATGTACAGAAATGTGTTTGAATAAAATTAACCTTTCATGTTTTATTTTGTAAAAAAAATGCAAACATTATGGTCAAATTCCAAATATAGTCATTGTAAACTTTTGTCTGCAGTAAATATTACTACATGTCTACAAACAACCGTTTTCACTTGAAAATAGTTCACGATTATTTGGTGCAGGCCCTCCACTACTGTTGTTGTTTTTTGTTTGTTTTTTACACAAAATAATATGAAAAAAGTTTAAAAAATATAAATACTGTACAGTAATAGCAAAAAGAAGTTTTGGATTTAAACACTGTGCAATCACTAAAACATAATAAATAACCAAAATATACAGCTGTGGACATTTTTACACTAAGTGGACATAATGAATAGCAGCAACAGCAGAGATGTGCAAAAATAACAGCAGCATAATATCTATAGTCACTAAAAAATTTATTGTGCAAAAATTAGCATGAGTAGAAACACTTACTAAGCTTACTTTACATACTTCTTTGTACACATTTTTTACCAAACACTGACTATTGATTATTAGCTATTAAAAAAACAGACTTTCAGTCTACGGTCCCTGCAGCAGGTGGAGCTGTTGCTGTGTTCCTGGATATGAATGAGTCTTTCTGAAAGAGTAACATCCCCTTAAAGAATATATTTTAAAAACTAGCAGCTTGAGAGCAAGATCTATATCATTTTTGGCTGTGTTTCCAATCAAATCCCTTTGATCCCTTTTAGTTGTACTTGAGCTGATAATCATGTGATAATCAAGTGTGGTGGCCTCAGATTCTCATTAAGAAATAATAACTAAATCATAAAAAGAAATAAAAATTAAATTAAAGCATATTTCTGCTTTGCAAATGTATAAGTACAACTTGGCCTGATCCCCAGATTGAGTAAATGCAAATAGACAAAATCCTAAACAATAAGGGCTACGAGTGTTTTTCTTTTTTCTTTTTTTTTCTAACAGTGTCCTGTCTGGCGATGTGGCAATAACAATAATTGTCTTGATGCCAAAAAGATCCCAACAGATTTTATTTTCACAAGTGGAGCAGTACGGCTATTGCCATATAAATTGCTTTATTATAATTATGCAGGGAGTATTACAGATTATGTGGACACTGCAATGTAGGTAGAACAGGAAAGGAAAAACAGAAAAAAATGAGAAAAGATGAAAGAAAGAAGAGATAAAAGGGAGATAATGATAAAACATTTTCAGTCTGCTTCATCACCTGCAAAGAGATGTAAAAAAGAACAGCACAACCAATGGACATGGTACAAGACATACAATAAGGTAACACCTAGATACTATCGCTGAAGTATAAGATATTGCCCATATGGCTTCTTACCCAACTATAACATTCGTGGGGGGGTTTTTCTTCAAATTTGGTGGAGATGGCGCCAAGAGTTATTTCCCCCTTTGGTGTTTTTTTCCGGGCACCTATGTCATTCAGAGTTTTGTCAAATTTAAGGTATTTCTTCTACTTTTCTAACAAAAAATAATCATTTAATACTGATAAACTGTTTTCAACTCAAGGGGTCGTGTTTCTGCAATTTGATTTTTCATGAAAGCTAGCACCAAAAAGACTACTCTTTAGCCCCTCATAGCGATTTAGTAAGCTTTCAACATATACTTTTTTAAATCTATTAGGCTCATTTTTTAAAAAGATTTTCTTATACTGATGTCCAGTCATCTCTTCGATTAACATATGGAACGCAATACACAGAGGATTAAGACCAAAGGTAGGAGAATGCAGAGAGACTGAGTATTAGGGTATATGAAGATAAACTAATATGGACTAATTTGTCATAAAATGCTCCATTTGTAGGCTTAATAGTTAATATGATAAATAGAGAGGATTTAGATGTGGGCAGAATGAATCCAAAAGTTAAACAGTCAACTCTGCTGGTAAAAAACAAAAAACAAAAGAAACTCTCCAACCAAGGTGCATATTTATATGTATCAACAGATTTGCTTTGGTTAAATGGCAGAAATACTTGTTGTTGGTTTCTTCTTTCCCAGGGCCTGATACCTCACTCCCCTCTCCTCTTGAGGCCAAGGTTACCTCAGTATCAGCCTCTTCCAACCAGATGTTGTCCACCCCCCACAGGATCTTTAATGTGAAGCTTTCTTTTTTCTTGTAGCATTCTTATCATCCTAAATGTGTGTAGAATAATGGTCTTGCCTCATCCTTGATCCCACAGATTGTCCATTTAATTTTGCTTGAATCTGTATTATCATCACATGCTTAAAGAAAAGCTGCTCATCCACAAGACAGTTGAGCTTAGGATGGGCCCATCATCCCTTTCCATAGGCAGCTTTCTCTTCCACTTAACCCTAATTTATTTTATTTATATTGCACTGATTTTTAACATGCCATCTCAAGGCAGTTTACATAGACATTTCAATCAGATCATACAATCAGATTGGTTCAAAGTTTTCTTTCAAAGGAAACCAAGTTGATCGCATCGACTCATTGACACCACAGCAATCTCTCATACCAAGCATGCATGCAGCAACAGTAGAGAGGAAAAACTCCCTCATAACAGGAAGAACCAGGCTCAGAGTGAGTGGCATTCTGCCGAGGGTAACCAGGGGTTCAAGGAGACAGATGCAGACAAACAAAACAAACATAGAAGCACTGTTCATTAAGCACTGTCTGTTCTAGAATATGTAAAATTATACTAGCTTGAAAGGGGGCTATGTCTGAGGAAGAAAGTTTTTAACCAGTTTTCATGTAAAATGGTTGAAAGAGAGAACATACAGTTAGTCACAGTAAAAGCTGAGCCTATATCTAGGTGAAGGAGAGAAACAGGACTAAACACTGAAAAACAGCCCCATCTCTATCATCTATATTCTACGGTGTTGAGAGCAACAGCCCAGCTGATATTTCTATCCAGGATGGTGCCACAACTGAACAGGAGCAGAACAGATGAAGCCACTAGGATGAGAGGAGAGAGCATAAAATTAGGGTTTGAACTAACAAATACTGCAGAATGAGAGAATAGGGATAGAAAGAAGCAAAAGCATGTAAAGTGGCCCATATGCCCTTCAGCAGTCAAAGCCTATAGCAGCATAACTATAGAGATAGCCCAGAATACTCTGTGCCACTTAATTATAAGTTTTGTTACAAAGTAAAGGAAAGTTTTAAAGCTGCATGCAGGCTGTAGATAGATTTAAAAATATTTCTTATACCCACATAGAGATATATTTTTTGTCAAAAATATATTTGAGACTATGGCGTTGAAAGCATGACCTTTTTTTTTTAAATATTGACATTTATTATTCTTGATCCGTTGAGTCTCACTATAAGTAAAATCAACATGTCAGCTTGCTAGCATTGATAGTGTTAAGTGCGTTCGCTTAAGCTGCCTACTGTATATAGGAGTCTGTGCTCCATGCTGTAGGCTTCAAACCCATAGCTGCTTATTGGCTATGGATTAGAGTGGTTCAAATATTTTTGGTGTAGAGGGTCACTATTTCTTTGATTATTTGATAGAATTGACTGATATCAAATTTTGCCATACAAATAATCTAAAATCCATTATTGAAAATATATTATCTACAGTAAAATGTAATATAAAAACTAATAAGATCTGAAGAAAGATAATGATTGTGTGAATTTACCTATGCAGATAGTTATGAGGCTTTGTTAGAAATAAAGTTATTTTCTGCAAAATGGAATAAAGTATAAAAAAAACAGCAACATGTAATCTTCTAATTTGCTCCATACTAAACATAAATAAGTCATATGAATGGTGTGTGGAGCACTCTTTTCACGGTTAGGTATTATTTGACAGATTTATGTATTCTATCGTCAACACTAGGCTACACACATGGACAGGCCAAATGTCTTCTTGAAAAAAGATTTTACTTATTAGACAGCTAATTTTCAATAATTGGATACTTCCAAGCTGAGGCTTGCAATCCTAGTAAGAAACAATGATTGAAAAGCACATGTCAGAAAGGTTTTTTTTTTTTTTTTGGAATCTATAATCAGGCTTACAGTAGGCTTCTGGAATGGTCCCAACCTTGGCTACTAAAAAAGAAAAGGAGTATGTGTGATAGGCAGAGTCATTCTATCTAATGATTCTCTTAAAACTGACTCTAACAAGTCTGTTCTGTTTGTCCCTTTCCTGGAGTTTGCCTATATCAAATCTACATGAAACATTTTAAGATGTTAGAGCAATCATTAAACACTTAGATGTTTATATCACACATTGTATTCATTTTCAACTTGTAAATATCAACTAACTCTGCAAAAAGGTCTCCAGATATATTTTTGTGGGGGAAAAAATACCATTGACAAAATACAACCACGACGATAATTGTTCCCTGTCGCCTTAATCTTAGAACAAAGGAGTAGCTCCGCCCTCGTGATATCAAGTAACCAATCAGAACAGCTTATTTTGCATAGCACGCAGCACAGCACAGAAAAGGTTTATATTTCCTTATTTATTTTGCAATACGCAACATAATACGTATACAATTTATGTATGGTGGTTGAGAACTGTTTTTCAAATGGTAACACTAAGTATCGGTGAAACTTCATTCACACCATAAGTCAAATTGATATTGCAGCTCAGGGGTTTAAAAATAGCTGTTGGAGCATTGTTCAAGTGCCCGGATGAGCCTCGGTGGTCCGGGGTGCGGGCTTCAAACCCGTAGCTGCTTAGCGGCAGAGTGGTTCAATTCCACCTTTCGGGCGATAATAATGAAAGGTGGTGATCATGTGATCAAAGAAAGGCGAGAGTGTTTTCTCGTTATGCTGCATATTATAGATAGGCTGGTGTGCTGCTACATGAAAAGAACTGAGAGGAAGCGACGTCACATATCTAAGATTGAATTTTCCTGAAATGTTATATTGATTATGAATATTTCTGTGTTAATTTACAATTACTAAGCTGTGTTTAACGGTTAAAATTAAATGTGTTTTATGTTTTTCTTTAAGTGCCTTTGATACAGCTTTCATAATTTGTTTTGAATATGTCCTACTGCCATCTGCTGTACATTCCAAGTCAATATTTTACTACAACAATCTGTTTTATTCGATTTTGTTTCAAAATCCTTCAGAAGTGTATCTTTTTTTTCTTTGGGTGGATATTTATGTTTTTGATTTAATATTCTTAACTTCCATTTTGTATTATGTTTTTTTTTTGCGTGTGTTGTTATTTTTTTTCTGGAGAAAAATAAGAGATTGAGACATAACCTGTTTCAGGGATATTGGTGTATTTTGAACATTAATGTTTATAATTACATTTATTCAGATAAACCTGAAACAACTACATTGAGTCTTATATGTTCAACATTACAATTTTTTATTTACATCCATTGACCAGTTTTAAATGTGTTTTGAATTAAACAGATAAGTTGGGAGAAAAGAACTGTATTACAGTGCGTGTTTCTCCAAAGACGTGACTGTTATTTTTTCTGTGTTTTTTTCCATCTGTTGGTTTGCCATTTGATGTCTAGAAATCCCTTAGTAAATTAACATTTAGTTGTTTTCCAGTTAAATAACTAAATCCATGTGCCTCAAGTGAAGTGGTTTAAATATATGGACAAATCAGCTGGGTTTGTTTTGAGAAGGAAACCTTTAATTGTTTAAAACTGGCATTTCAGGCATTAAATGTTTATATTTCATGGATATCTGTTAGACAAAGTAACATTAAAAACAGTCGTGGGAAAATAAAAATATACAGTCTTGGTCCCCGTTACCTTATTATGTCAAAACATGTATAATAAAACTTAACAGTGTCACATTTTTGCTCCCTTATGGTTTCTTTAAACTGCACACCTTAGTCTTCATCTATTATACAGGACTTTTACCCATTTGCATATTATCATTGTATGTTATTATTTTGGTAAATGAAAAAGTTCATATCCTATAATACAGTACAATTTTTAAGACTATGCATATGTCAATATTAACTTGAGGATGTAAAAACAATACACCAGAAGTTGAAATATTATTCGACTTAGACAGATTTTATTTTGTCATTTTGTATACACAAGTGTAAACAAAAATAAATTTAGTTTAGAACAGCTCTCTAGACTATTTTTTAAAGTGCAGCCTTGATAAGGTAAGCAGATGATGATATTTATGAGATATCTTGAACCCTTTCTTTGGGGTGAATACCTCATTCCCTCATAACAGTCCATACAAAAGTTCCCAGGTTGTGGTTCCTGGAACACTTCTCCTTTTACATGGTTTCTGTTTGATCTTACAGTCTGACTCATTCCTCTCTGTGAGGTCATCAAGGAAGAGCACTGAGCTCAGTACCTTTTTATGCTCCTCTCTATTCAGCAGGACAAAAAGGCCAACCTGCAGTAGTTGCAGGAGGCTTCCTTTATATTTCACCCTGATATTTATTTCCCTTAATCCTCAGTTGCAGTGAGAGACAACTTGACAATTCTCCTTTAAACAGCAGTTTTTATTTAACCTCCATTTAACGTCCACAATCAGTTCCAAAAAAAAAAAAAAACATCTGATCAGTGATTTTCACCTCTTTTTTTATAAGGCAGATACCTAGTAGCTTAGTGTAAAAAATATGGCAGGCTGTGGCACAACTAGATTTATTTAAATCTCTTTATTTATAATTTATCTCCAGGCCTGTCACCCAATATGCTACAAAAACTGTACACTGAATCTCCAATTAAGTACCACATCCCTACAAAGTCATGGGTATGGTGACACAACTGTGCTTCACATCAACAGATGTGAATTTTCTGATATAGTTATGCTTGTCTCTAATATGATAAACTCTTTAAAAATTTCATTTTATTTCATTTCATTTTGCTGTACTGTCTTCTCTTTCTTCTAACATTGAGATCGGCAGTAAAAGTTGACATGAAAATACATTAAATAAAAAGAGAATGAAAACATAATGAAGTTGGGATTGAAAATAGCTTATATATTAGATAATTGTATTATAGTCATTTAAAAATGTACACAGATGGTCCAAAAAAAATCAAAGGGAATGTGGGAATAGGGATATTAATTCTAGAGTTTAATATAAAAGATTTACAGACCTTTTATCTATATACAGAGCAGAAATGGTAGCAATTATTATTAGTTTACATTGAGTGGAGGAGGTTAGACTGGACAGAGTGGTGATTTGCACAGATTCTAAAGCTGCAATAGAAAGCATTCATTCAGGAGGAAATAATAGGAAAGACCTTGTATTAGAAATTCATCAGTTTCTTTAGGTTATTTAGGTATGGAATAGATGTGCAGTTCTGTTGGGGTCCAGCAAACGAAGGGGTGAGAGGAAATGAAATACCGGGTAGCAGACAAAATAGCTACAAAGGCTTTAGGAAAGCAGAATTTAGACCAGATTCCATTTGGAAAAGGGGAAGGTAAATCAATAAAGAAAGAAAAAGATTTATGGCAAAAAAAATATGGGATGACGATAAGAAAGGAAGAAGATTATATAAGGTTCAAAAATCTGTAATTGTTAAAAAATTATGGGAAAAGAAGCACAAGGGAAGAGATAATTTATACTAGATTAAGAACTGGACATACCTACTTCAATGAGTTTTTGTTTGTATTAGGGAAGAGAAATAATGATTTATGTGAGGATTGTGAAAGAAAAGAAAATGTGGATCATGTTTTGATGGATGCATTAGAAATGCAACTGAAAGAGAGAGGATGAGGAAAGTAATTATGGAAAAAGGGAGAGAATGGAGTATTAAAGGATTTTTAGGGAAAGATGGACATAGGAAGGAAATTTTGGTTATTAATAAAGCATTGTTTTTATTTTTACATAACACAAAAATAAAAAAAAAATAGAATATAGTAGGTAGAACTGAGCTACACACTCATGTACAGTAGATGGCGGTATGCACCTATAAGCTCTTTGCAATCCGCCAATCTAACGAAGAAGAAGTAGAAGGGAGCGGCAGTGACCTGATAGGACAGTAGGGGGCGGTACTGCGGTGGACACCAACAGATTATGCAGCGAAGAAGAATAAAGCAGTTAGTGTATCTGTGCACGATGTCCTTGCGGGTTTAAATAATAAAATAAAGTGAAATAAATACTCTCTGTTCTCAGGTGGAGATTTTACAAATTCCTGGTAAGATACTTTAAATTACTGTAATTAGAGACTTCTGTAGGCTTTATTTATGTAGCGGAATAACCTTTCTGTCGGTTAGCTCCCTGCTAACCAGTGTCATTATAAAATATATATGATCCTATTTATGGTTTTTAACCATTACAGACATTCAGAATCAGATTATTTTAATGACTGATCTGTTAAGAGCTGTAGAGGAAAGCTAATAAGGCTAAAGTAACAATTAGAGTTATTTCTAAACTATAATTGATTATTATAATCAATAATAGTTATCTAAAATCATAACTTCACATATCACTCGCCTGTCTTACGTATAAACGTAATAATTATTTTTGTTGATTAATTATTTTCTGCATTATGATTGTGTTGTTTTGAACTGTCTTCTTTCTCCCTCAAAGGAAACTTGCATCATGCCTCTTCATAAATATCCACCTAAACTCTGGGATGCTTTGAAGCTAAAGCAGGGCATCTATGCCCGTCTCCCTAAACATTATCTGAAGTCCCTTGAACAAAAAGAGCCCACCCCTGTTCACTGGAGGCCTCTTGGAGTCAAGTACAGAGCAAACCCCAAGACTGGACAGAAGGAGCGGGTGCAGGATGTCCCAATCCCCGTCTACTATCCTCCACAGTCCCAGGATGGCCTGTGGGGCGGCGAGGGCTGGATAACTGGCTACAGATATGCCAACAATGACAAAGTAGGTCTATTCCAGTCGAAGATGTTGCTGTGGATCGATTAACCTGTAAGGTAATCCATGGATCTAAAGTTTATTTAATCTTGTTTAGATGTCCAACCGACTGAAGAAAACCTGGAAACCACAGCTACTCAAGAGAGAATTCTACAGCGAGATCCTCGATCACAAGTTCTCCATCACAGTGACGCCTCGAACCCTGGACCTCATCGATGCTGCTTTTGGCTTCGACTTTTATATCCTGAAAGTAAGTTTTACTGTGCATTTAATCTCTTTCATATCAATACTTCCTCCTGACTTTTATCTCAACCCCTTTTTAGACGCCAAAGGAGGACCTGAACTCTAAATTGGGGATGGACCTGAAGAGGGCGATGCTGCTGCGCCTGGCACGGCGGGACAAAGAGCTTTACCCCAATGACCCTGACAAAAAAGAGGCCATCTACAACAAGTACAAGGTTGCTTACTAATGGATCAACACAACTTTCAACACAAGTTGAACTCTTAAAGCGGCTGGAAAGAATTTAAACATTTTTGTTTTTTCTTTTTATTTTAAGCAGCACTTTGAGATCCCAGAGGAGGAGGCTGAATGGGTGGGTCTGACTCTAGAGGAGGCTGTGGAGAAACAAAGGCTGCTGGAGCACAAGGTAACAAGCCATACCAATTTAAGTTCACACTTAAGGACATTTTATGACATCTTTAAGATGTTGTGAGAGATGTTTGCTTGAAATGTTGGTAAGAGTGATGTGAAAAAACTGGAAGTCAGAAAAGCAATGACTGAAAGTAAGAAGTAATTTATATTTTGAGGCTTCACTGATTCACTGATTATTTTGTATTTAAGACACTGTTTACAATCCTGAAAAAGGGAAAACCTCTGACTTTGGTTTATTTATAATGCAGATAACGGGATGTCAACTTTTTTCACTTTGACCATATTCAGCACCCATATTACGTTGCATTTTTACTATGAATTATACAGTTAAAAAAGAGCAGATTCAGTCCATTTATGTATTTGTGTTTGAATTTAGCTGTTTATTTTTTATAAATAAGAGGTTGATCAAAAAGAAATATAGTCTTTCTTTAATCCCTCATTTGTATTTAAACAAGACTGCAGCATCGAAGGGTTTATTGGATTCGGTGAAAATATAAAAATTATTTTTTAACCTTAAAAGTTTTTCTCCTTTAGCACAAAGCAGCTTACTTTTAAAAGACCTTCCCTTTACTGCTGCTGTAAAAAGTCAAGTCAGACTTTTCTCTCTGATCTTTGACTTTAAATGTTTGCAGGTTGCTGACTCTGTTATGTCGTTTCAGGAGCCGGAGCCTCAGTTCAAGGTCTTGGTGGAGAAGCTTGTGCAGGATATGCAAATGAGGAAACTTTTAGAGCCACACATTACTGAGAGGAAGTGATCATCCAACCTGGACCTAAAGAAGGTTAAACTGTCCCGATTCGTCAGGGACGACGGTTCGAGTCGTGGTGCTTCATCAGTGAAATCACACCAAGGAGAAGCTCATTGAAGCTAAAGGGTGACAAATGAGTCCTGAAGAAATAATGTTTATTTATTTCAGTCATGTTTTACTTGCCCATACATTTAAAAACCTGAAAAAAACAGTTCAGAGATTGTGGGAAGAAATATGATGTAAATACTACCAACAGGCAGAGATATATTACCATGTATGTATGATTTCTTATTGGATAAAGTCTTCTTTTTTTTAAATAAAACCTGTTTAAACTCATGCTTTCATATTTGTCCATAAATAAGTTCTCTGTTTAAAGCTTTAAAAAGATCCTACTAACATCTGGAAACTAATAGAAAACAAATCCTGAACCCAAAGATTAGAATAACTTGAAAGTACATAAGCTTTTTTTTTAATGCATACAAACTAAACTAGATGCCCTATATGTTGGTTATTCATCAAACTACTTAGCGTATAAATATGTTTATTTTAACATTGCAGTAAACATTATCCAGAATTATCAAATGAAAAAAGGCATTGTGCTTTGTAATGATGGGGTAAAACCAAAATCCCAAATCATAGAGGCCTAGTTAATCTTGATGTTTGGGTGTGGCACAAATATTTACTTGCATTAACAAATTGATCAGATTATCCCAAACATAACATCTGGACTCAGGGGCACCTTTAATCTCTTTACAGTGAATAATGAATATATTCATACCACAAGTTTTTGATGCACCTTTATGGGATTTCATGTGGCAGAAAGAAACCCAGCGAGATTCATTCTTTATTTAGCCCGATAAATCAACCATGCAGTCAGTTAACTTTAAGTTTCCTAATCAGTAATGTTAAGGAAACACAGCAGCCAGGTGAGGATAAAGGTTTGAAGAAGTTTAAACATCTCGTAGAGCCCTTCTTAATCCATCACCTGAAAGACTATGAGACAACTGCTTTAATAAGGGACAGAAAAATTGGTAAGAAGTAGGATGGAGGGTAATAGTGAAAGAAAACCTGCTAGGGGTAGCAAAAGACTCAAAACTAGGGCAGATGTTCACCTTTCTGCAGGACAGGAACTCTGTACGCTCAGACAAAGCTGCACTGGACCAGTTTAGATAAAAGCAAATTCAGAATTTCTTGCAGTGGAAAGATGTTAAAACCTGTTGCTCTCTATTCTTTCCGAGTTACTTTGGATGACTTTACAGGTAAGAAAGCTCAAAATACTCAGTTTTTACATTTGTATAGATACCCTCAGAAGATCTGGAATCGCTGGAAACTACAGATTGAAGAGAAACTGTAGAAACGCTGTTCACTTGTTAAGATCATTTACAAAAGCACATTCTCTGTAGAAAACATTTGATGTATCACATGAAATCCCACTGAATTACACTAAAGTCTGTGGTGGTGATGTGACAAAATGTTATAGCAACAAAAAGGCTAAAAATGCCACGAAAATATATATTTTTTTAAATCCTGTTTACTGTTTGAGTGAGGTAGTATTGTGTTTGGCCACTAGATGGAGCCATTGTTTGTGACTAATGATAACTGTATGTGAGAAGAGCTGAGATAGAGTCGTTTTATTTATAAAATCCTTTTGTAAAATTGGGTCAAAAATAATATGATCACGTATTCACTATCTAATGTTTTTTAAACTATATCAAACAGCTACTTTTAAATCAGTTAAACCCATTTAAACAATTAAATGAGTTTAATCCTCACGAGCTGGCTCGCTCGTCTGCCTGGCTGTGTGTTTCCGGGACGAGGCCACCCTTTTACAGCTGCTTTTTGTATCTCTCCTTCTGTCTCCTTGAACCCCAGTCGGCCTCGCCAGATGGTCGCTCACAATGAGCCTGGTTCTGCTGGAGGTTTCTTCCTGTTAAAAGGGAATTTTTCCTCTCCACTGTCACTGCAAGCATGCTTAGTGTGAGGGATTGCCTTCAGTCAATGCAATCAACTGGTTTTCCTTAGATAGAAAACTTTAAATCAATTTGACTGTATGATCTGTTGAACTGTAAAGTGCCTTGAGATGACATGTGTTGTGAATTGTCGCTATAAAAATAAACTGAACTGAATTGAAGCTACAGGATTTCCAAGGTAGGTAGCAGAGCTATAACTGTTGCAAAGAAATGCCCTGGTTTAAGAATCCGAAATCAGGCCAATTTTAAAAATTTCAAAGGACCAAAAAAGGCGCTGAAGTTTGCGAAAACCACAGCAGACAATGTTTTTTTCATGGTGGAGTTTCACTTTCGGCTCTATAGTGACAGTAGAGCTGGGGTGAGGTGAGGTAAGGACTGGGGACTCCCGTGGGTGTCGTTACCAGGCAACAGGCAGCAGAATAGATACCTGGCACCTGTAAACATGAAGATTCAGTCCTTATATAGAGAGAGGTTGCGAATGGAATTACCCCTGTCATTTTGCAAATGCAAAATACGTAAACAGAAACAAAACCTTACAAGGAGCTTCTTTGGTAGATTTCATTCAGTTTTTACCTATTTTGGTTAGAGATTTTGTTATTCATTTGGTGAAACTGGATAAAGTTCTAATGTTATTGTTGGTGTTTGCGACCCCTAAAGAATATTCTGTAAATATTCACAAAAAAGCTTATCCCCTTTAGTTGAAAATATTTTTTTTATATAAAATCCAATGCTTTTTTTTAATTATTATTTAATACAGACATCTTCTAAAAACGCGGATAAAATCAGCTGGCACAGTAGGTGAGGCTACACTAAACTCTCAGTCATCGATCTGACTCATGCTAATAAAAGCTAAAGTATTAAAGCCAATTTTTTTAGGTGCCCTTACTTGTCATTTATCTAACCTGAACTATTAGTTCTAATAGTTTGGTTCACATGTGACTTACGGTATCTTCTGTGCTCATTTCCCCAGATTGTCTACAAAAGCATTAAGGTCAATCATATCAAAAACATTTTGCTCTCTGAGAAGGGCTTTAAAGGAAGCAAGTATGTGTTTTGGTTTAACAATTAACTACTCATAGTAAAAATGAAAGTGCACCCTCTGTTTATTCAAAAGTTTTACTTATCAGGACATAATAATAAAGTCATTATTGGCTTCTGGAATAGATACTTCACACATTTTCATGTTTCACTTTGAAAAATTTCAAGATGAATGTATTGGGGATTATGAGACAAAGGTGATTATGAAGTTATGGTATGAATATAAATAAAGGGAAGACTTGAATTGGTGAATGGTTGAATGGAAGAATAAATCTTTTAGAGAAAACGTTCAGTCTGCATATACATTATTTTCTTTTCTGTTTTTTCCAGTGTTTTTTTTTTTTTTGTCATTACATTGTCACAACAAAATAATTTCTCTGCATTTAACCCATCCCCTTGGTGGGCTGCCATTGGGAGCAGTGTTAGGGGGTCTTTGCTCAGAGACCCAGAGTTGCAGTCTGTGGGAGCGGGGCGCAAACTCAGAACCTCAGGATTCCAAGCTCTACGGCCTAACCACTAGACCACCACTCCCCAAAGCAGGCATTAGCGTAAAGGCAAAGAAAACAAGCAACATTTTCTGCATTGTCATAATTTAGATGGTTTAGAAACTTCCACCAAAAGGATCGTAGACTAATGAAACAAGTTGTTTTAGGAAGATAAGACCCTAATAGACATGTTTGGCCTACAGGAACTTAATATGTGACAAAAACCTCATGCCTACTTTCCAGTATGGTGGTGAAGTGGCTGTACCTGGACCTGGGCAACTTCCAGTCAGTATGTCAACCATGAGCTCTTCTAAATACCAACGTATCTTGACTCAGTTCTTGACTATTCATGCACGCTGACTGAATACCTTCGGTTTCTTGTTTTTTTTTTTATTTTTACAAAGATGGAATCTAAATCCTTTTTTATCTCTGTCCCCTTATTTCTGTCAGTTAATTCTACTAAAAGTCAGTCAGTCTTGTTGCAGCTTATGTCTGACGTATGCCTCTGTGGTGAAGAGTTGTTTTAAGTCTACGTTTGAGCAGAGAAGTCCATGTGGTGGTGATGTGATAAAATGTTATAGCAACACAAAGCTAAAAATAATATTTTTCTTCACTAACATTTTAGCTGAGCTTAAGGATTAAAAATCTTACAGTTTTGAAAAAAACATCCAACTAAGAAACAGTCTTTAATATGTCTGCCGCTGAAACACAGCAGGTCAGATTTATGTTTTAGAGCAAGGTACAGTTTAGACATAAAATATTTATTACCTCTTTTATTGTTCTCGGTTCACATTTCAGACAGACACCCTTTGATGAAAGCCTAGAGGCGACACATCACAATTATCCTTAAACTTTATGGGTTTTATAGCTTTGGTTTATGGTTGACTCATTTCATGCACTGGTTGCTTCTAAGAATCCATCTATTTAACAGCAGATTCTCCATCTCAGGACAACAAAATCCACGCTGGGGTTTCATTAATGATATCTGCTCAGTGTTGTACCTTTGTTGTTAGCTAATCCTATAGAAACCTGGTCTGCCTGACATGCCTCAGTAACCACCAGTTCCTGTTGTTTCACTGTCATATGGTCAAGTTTCCTCTGTGGTTCATGAAGCATTTACTTTACCACATTTTATGAGCTTTAGATTCAACTTGTCATTAGACTTTTTTTTTTTTTTTTTTTTACTTTTTTAACTCAGTCCTTCTAGGAAGCAGGGCTGTCAACTCACACATCTCAGTGTCCTCACACGCTCTCACTCCATATCCGCAATTTTTCACTCTAAAAAAAATGACGGACATCAAAACTCATCTCCATTCCACTTATTTATCTATAAAAATATCATGCTGATAAAAATCGACTAATTTAGTAATCCATTCACCCTTAACTGGAATATAGAGACTCTAAAACATGTCTTTAGATGACAGAGTGACCCATCTTGAGCAGCAATTATACCAAAATTGTAAAACAAATATGTAAACACTTTATATTTAAAATTAAAAAAGGTCATCTTTTGTTATGCTCTATACTACCCAAGTGGAAAACATTTAGCTTCACCTGGTTTAATTTCATAAAAAAAAATTTTTTTAAGGAATCAATAAATTGAAGAAAATAATCAACAGGTTAGTCCATTTGCAAAATAATCGTTCGTTGCAGCCATCCTAGAAGGTCTGAATTGTATAGTTGTTTTGTCAATTGTAAGAAAAACTAATAAGATAATGAGATAAGGTTTTTAATCCTCAGCCTATTACCAAATATTCATACACAGAGTAGTTTGCATTTGATTTAATTGCACTGGTTCCTGTATTAGTGCCAGTAATCCAGTAATTGACTATTAGTTCCCCAT